CAGGGAGAGAAAGAGACAAAGAGAGAAATGAGGGAGGGACAGAGTGTGTGTGTGTGTGGAGTCCCAGACACACCCCACCATACATATGCACCCACACCCCCGCTTGCACTGCCACACATGCAACCCTCACACCCACACTTTCTCACACATCCCAGCCACCCCCATACCCTACACCCCCCCACATGCTCCCTTTACTCCACACCCCAAGCCCCCCCACACACACCCACACCCTCCCCCACACCCCATATACCCACACACCCGCAGCTCCCCACAAATCTATACCCACCTCTATGTACACTATATAATTACCTCTACGTACACTATACAAACACATGTAAATCAGGACAAAAATATATTTTTTAAATCAAATTAATTTTGTAGATATTCAATTTTTAGAATATAATTTGTTATTTTTCTAGTTCCGAGATGACAAAATCCCTTGCTGAAAGGAGTACTTCTGGGGGCAAGGGGAGAGACTTCTGGTGGCAAAAGTCAGGGATTAGGGGGCAGGACTTCCGGTCACAAGATGGCAACCGGGGGTGGGGCACCTGCCAAGGGACAGGGGTACCCACGCAGCCCTCAACAGCTTGCTAAAACTTGGTAAGTGGCCCTCCAACCAAAACAACTGCCCACCCCTGGCCTAGAGGCTGCAGGAAGAGATCTGGGCAACTACATCAGCGCAAGTCTACCCAGAATCAGTGAGAATGGTACAAATACAGCAGCACTGAAATAGCAGGGCTGATACATGTCTGATCAGAGCAGATGGCTCTTGGGACAAATGTTCAGGCGTGGGTTCTAGCACTGGAGCAGCATTGGTTAGTTCAGGAAAGACTTGAGACGTGCATTAGCAAAGAAGCGGGAGCTCAGGACCATTTTAGTAGAGGACAAATAAAGGGCAGGAGCAAGATGTGCATTGACATGGCTTTATGCAGGTAGATTTCAAAGCATGTACCCACAGCATGGGCTGCCACTTCTGACGTAGACTCCTTTCTGGCCAGTGGCAGAAATCAAGTAATTCTGTCCCTAACACAGCAAAGCAGGGGCAGGAGTGTGGCAGATGTAGTGCTTGTCACACCTCTTAACTGTTGTGTTATTCAGTTTCCCTGTTCAGTGTGTGTTACTCAACTGATAATGCAAAGGCAAATCAAAGGAGATTGTGAAGGGCTTGTTAAACAGCCAGGCATGGAAGGGCAGAACAATGACATAGATAAGACAGTCACAGGCAGGCAGCCCCCAAGAAAGCTAAGCTTAAAATAGCTGGCTCCAACCAAACTAGAATGGTGTTCATTCCAGAAAAGGGGCAGGATTTGGGTGAGCTGGGGGAGGCTACCCAAGGTTTCCTAGTGAAAGAGTTTGACTAGCTAGGATGGCTGGCTCAGAGGGAGTAACCACAAGCACCATAAGCAGCTTTTCCCAGCACCGAGATAGGGAATAAGCCTAAGCTATGGATAGGGTGGAAAAGCTTATGTAAAGGAACATGCATGGGGCTCTTAACCCTTGGCCCTGTCTGCTCTGTGTCTTTAAGTGAAAGACAAAATGGTGCTTTGTTCTGTGGCTGTTATGGCACTTTGAAGATCAGGATCAGCCAGGTCCACCTCAAGTCATGTGAGGTACTGGTAGGCAGTCCATTGGGTAGTTTTTCTTGCAGCCTGTTGTCTAAGTTGATAAATATCAGCTTCCCAACCCAGGGGAGGTAAAAGCCTCTGGCCTGACACTAGTGAGGGTGCACTTGGTGAGACCCTGAAAAGGTGGAGCAGTGCAGCTAGCCCAGTAATAGGGACATGAAGTCTGGACTGTAACCAACCCAGTCAGAACAAGCAGCAAAACACGGACCAAGGAAAACAACTAGGCCACAGGGTTGGATGCAAAGGACAGACAACACAGGCCAATGTTTCAGCTCTTCCATAACAGCCTGTTCCCTGCCCCTTCCCTTCTCCCTCCCCGCAGATGACCTCAGGATAAGCCCCACCCAACTTCTTTCTGCTCCCCAGCTTTCCTGCTGGTTGTCAAAGTAAGTGCTGCTGCTAAAACTGCTCCCCATGTGAGGTCAAAACAGCCTATACTAGTTGAAAAGCTTTTACAGGAAGATCTAGGGGCCCTGCTCTCAGATCAAAGGATACTTCCTGGCATTCTCCTCAATTGGTCCCTGCCCAGACACCAGCACGCACTTCTCATGGAACTGACGGAAGAGTCGCAGGGGGCTGTGGGACAGGATGATCTGCTCTGGAGATACCTGTGGGAGAAAGAGAGGATCATAGATAGCATGAGGGGGGTGGAGCATCACCCCTTGCCCCACACAGCTCCAAGGCCTTTTCCCCTCACAAAAAATGGAAGGACCCCCACTGAGGCTGCCCCAATCCCAACTGTGGAAGCCCATAACCTCAGGCTAAGTTACAGCTGCAGAGAGGAGAGGGACTTCGCACTCAAACAATACTCAAACCTGCAAACAGGTTATAGTACCCCTGCCTCAAAGTGTCCTCTGCTCTACAAGCAAGGATTTCCCTCCACCAGCGTTGTATCCAGTGTAAGCTTAACATACTATGCCTTCCCTATTGGGTGCTGTACCTCCAATCCCAGGGCACTGGACAGTTCCTGGGCCTTGGCATGCCGAAAGCAATTCCCAGCATTGGTCACAAAGACGACAGGCACACGGAGCTGACCATTGGAGTCTGTCAGCTTCTGGAAGGCTTCCCGGGCAGCCGGTATGGCATGGCGGCCACGCACCAGCACTCCATCAATATCAAACAGGAACCCAAAGGTTGGAGTCTGCAACACAAACAGGTACAGAGGAGGGACAAGCATGAAAACCTGTGATAGGAACAACTGCTCCTAAGGAAAACACAGGGAGCAGGGGGTCAAAATGAAAATTAGGAGGGGTGTTATTTCCCTCAGATCACATGCAAGGAGTCTGCTAGTCTTCTTCCCTCTCCTCTCTTGGAAAGAAAAATAGCCAAGACATGCAACTGAAGAAAGACAGTGTAGTAAAGTTAACAAAGCACTGGGCTTTCTTCCTTGCCTTGCCACAGAGCTCTAGTCAGCAACTGACCACTGTGCTCCTGTTTCCTTTCTTGTAAGTTAGATCTAATACGGCTTACTATAGTGAGCATTTAGAGGCTTCTGGATAAGTAGCTCTGTGAGTGATTTGGGGTGTTGACAGAGATGGCGTGAACCTATAATTCAAATCTACATCTGTGATTCCCCCCCCCCCCCCCTTTTTTGAAGTCAGGGTGAGGGATTGGATCCCATTTGTGTTGTTCCAATTCATCTCAGGTTTTTGCATAACACTAGATTGAAGCAAATCTATTTGCACTGCACCATCCTCAGTTCCTAAAGAATTTAGCAGTAAGTGCCTTAGAATTGCAGCTGCACCCTATCTGCCTGTCCCAGAAGAAATACTGCGTGTCCCTGACATGCTATAAAGTCCACAGCCTCTGCCAGGCCCTCACCCTTGAGCATGTGTACTATTGCCAGCATTAGTGATAAGAACAGCAAAAAACAGTTTGGGGCTCCCTTATGTGGAGAATAGTGTCACAGTTCAGTAAGCAGCCCCTGCATCCACTGCCCATTTCATTGCTGGGGGTCTCCCTCCGGAGTCAGGAAAAAGAAATCAATGAAAGTTGCTGCTGTCAACCCAGTCCCAGGGGAACTTCACAGCTGTGAAGTGACCCAATACGCAATCTGTGCACAAGCAGCTGCTCCAGCCCTCTGCACTATTTAATAGACACCATGCAGAGGCTGTAGGGTAGCAACAACCAGATGCCCTAGGATAGCAACCACAGCAGAGCAGAGAGGGGCACTTTAACAAGGTCATTCTCTCTAAAGTGAATGTATGTACTTTGGGAGAAGCAGGCCACATGCACATGTTAGAGCAGCCTTTCTGCCTTTTCCATTTAGGACAGTATTTCTCAAATTGGCATACACAGCAAAAAGTAGGGTGAGTTGACGGGCATAAGATCTGTATACCAAAACTGTTTCTCAGTTTGAGTGAGACAAGGAAGTAGAGGCATTAACTCCGGGGAGTTTAATGCGAAGTGCTGGGCTGCCCAGAGCAAGTTCTGCCGCAGTGCTTTGCGCCTGTAGGTGAGTTTCCCTACCCCATGCAACAAAGGAGGCATTGATAGCTCCAGCACTACACAGAGAGCCCCTGGCCCAGGTGGGAAGTTAAAGCAGGAACTACGACTCTGTGGCACAGCCCTAGATCCCCTCTGCATCCTATGAAGTTTCACCCCTGGTGCTTCGCCCAGCAGCTGGGACCCTGTAAAACAGCCATGTCAGCTTAGCTCTTTACTGGGGACAGGCCTCTTTCCTAAGCAGGCTCCTAGTAGATCAATCCCAACTAAAAAATATTCCCTGGAAACCAACCCCAGCCCTGGACTCTGACATGCCCTGTGCCCTCCCCATCCAGGAAAGCTAGGGCCACTCACCTGAGTTATGCCAGGGGGTCTCCCTGCAAAACCTCTGCTGCTGCTGCTCCTCCAGAGTGAGGCCCAGAGCCCCTCCGCCCTGGCGGGAACGATGCTCCTCTGTGCCCCGGGCAACCATTTCCTCCAGGCTGCTTTGCTCACAGTGACAAGACAGCACAGAGCCATCCCTTGCTGCTCCCAGGAAATAAGGCAGCAGCCCTACCCCCTCCCCACTGCTTCCAGCCTGCCAGTGAGGTCAGAGGACACTGATCACGTGCAGGAGCCAACCCTTTTCTCCTGGGGTGGGGGAAAGGACAATACAGGTCCCAGAGTCCAGTGGCTTTGCACTGCCAGAAAAGCACCCTGGTGTATGTAGTCCTACTTCCCTGCAGGGCTGCATCTCCCAGAATGCAAAGCAACACCCAGGGAGCAGCGAGGGGCGTCGCTTCTCAATGTATGATGGGTATTGTAGTTTACATGGGCCAGGTGCTTCCCGGAAAGCCCGGTTGTGTGCAAAGGTAAACAGCAGCATGGCCCACAAGTCCAGGGATGTCCCAGACGTGACTTGCCCCTTCACTCAGGCTGATGGGAGGCTGTGAGCCTTCCTGAGGCTAAAAGAGAACTCGTGGTAGAGGTGACATCTTGTATTAGACCAATTAGATTTTTTTTTGCAAAAAACAATACTTTAATTGCAAGCTTTTGAGCACAAGCATCCTTCAGGCATAGGAGAAGAGACTGTAAAAGTTCTCCTGGGTAGAAATTAAAGTTCATATTTCATAGGAGAGTTGAAGGTGTGGTTAAAATCTCCTGTTTAGAACAGTTCATTTTATAGGCAGATTAGGCTCAGAGAAAAGTTGGAATAGTCGGTTTACCTCAAAGTTGTTTGGTGGTAAGCAGGATATAGTCATGTTTCCTTCTGGTTATGGTGTTTCCTGAGGCTAATGCGCCCAGCCCCACGGACTTGCAAAGCATCACTGAGTCACGTAGCAGCCCGTGCACGTGGGACCAGGGAGGGGTTCTAGCCTAAAATAACTTATTGGAATGTCAGGGAAACCTGGTAAAATTGTTGCCTGAGCAAAGCAGGGCTTTGCATACCAACACCGTTTTTCTCTTTGTCTGTGATATGGCAACTTTTGAGTGCTGCATCAAATCTATGCCGCAATTTAAGGTCTGTTCTAAGCAGCATCCTCTCAACTGGGGGGAAATCAGAAATGCAGAAGAGAGAAAATGGGGGGATATCAGGTGCTCTGAGCATCTAGTAAATAAAGCTAGGTGTTTCAACCAGCTTCACAACAGTGTAGAGATCAAATATCCAGTTGACAGTAGTCTGTAATACATTTTGGCATTAAAATATCCCCTCATTCTCCCAGCAGATAAAATCCACAAGCCTAACACACAATTGCTGACAGGGATGAACAGTAGGAGAACCTGGTCTAGAGGTAACTGAAAATGTCTTGACGGTGTGGTGAGAATATGTAATGGAGAGGCTGGGAATGGGGACTATGCAGAATCCCTGCCATGATGGTAGATAAGCAGAGACTGACTGGAGTACACAGTCCCCCTGAGATGGTGTGAGAAGGTAGGAACATGGTATGGGTGAAGGGGACAGGGAAGATACACAGATTTCTGGCATGTGGCAGAATGGGGACTGGAGTGTACACAGAGCCCCCAGGCAAGAGAGGAGAGTTGCAAGGCGTTCTTGAACAAGGAGGCAATATAGGAGGGCACACACAGAGCCTGTGAGGAAAGGGGGGAGATATGCAAGAATGCAAAAAGCTGCTGGTCTCTACAGTAAGGTTGCCCTCCAGAACAAGAGCCTGTGTGGCCGTCCAGTGAAGAGTAAATGTTGCTCCCATCCTCAAGGCTGAGGGCACAAACAGGCTTTAGGACTGGGCTTGTGCCACTCTTTAAAAAAGGGCAAAATGACCCAGGGAACTACAGACCAGTTCACCTCACCTCAATACCTAGGAAGTTACTGGAGCGTGTTGTAAGGTAGGCCATTTGCAAGCATCTGGAGGAGGAAAGGCTGATCACAAGCAGCCAGCATGGATTTACTAAGAACAAATCATGTCAAACAAATTTGATCTCCTTCTTTGACAAAGTAAGTACTTGAATGGATGAAGGGAATACCGTGGATATTGTGTATCTAGACTACAGAAAGGCTTTTGACAAAGTCCTGCATGACCTTCTCATAAGCAAATTGGAGGAACGTGGGCTGGATAAAACAACTATAAAGTATATAGACAACTGGCTCAATAGCTGCAAGTAATGGGTGCTTATTAACCAGTCCATGTTGGAACAGCAGGAGGTTTTGCATGGGGGCCAACAGGGGTCTGTCCTGGGCCCATTACTGTTCAATATGTTTATTAATTATTTGGATGCTGGCATAGAAAGCTTTTTGAGCAAAGCTGCAGATAACATAAAACCAGGAAGGATTGTGAACACATGGGAGGATGTGAATGGAATTCAGAAGGCTCTTCACAGATTGGAAAGACGGGTTGAAGCTAACAGGATGAAGTTCAGTGAGGACAAATACAAGGTGCTACACCTCGGGAAGAATAATAAAAATACAGATACAAAATGGGTGATACCAAGCTGGGTGGCAGCACTACGGGGAAGGATCAAGGAGTCTTGGTAGATCACAGATTCAATATAAATCTGCAGTGTGATGCAGCTCTGCCAAAAGCAGATATGGTTTTGGGATGTAGCTATAGAAGCATTAGGTGCAAGATGCAGGTGATAGTGCCTCTACTCAGCATTGGTTAGGCCTCATCTAGAGTATTGTGCATAGTTGGGGGTCCATATTTTAAAAAGGACATGGAGAAGTTGGAGAGGATCCAGAGGTGGGCAATAAAGATAATAAAGGGCTTAGAAAGTAAGTCGTATGAAGAGAGGTTGAAGGAGCTAAGCATGTTCAGCTTGCAGAAAAGGCACTCAAGAGAGGACATGATAGCAGTCTTCAAATATCTGAAGGGCTGCCATAAAGAAGAGGGAAAACACATTTTCTGTCTTGCTGCAGAAATTAGGATGCAGACCAATGGCTTCAGGTTGCAGCAAAGTAGATTTAGATTGGATATCAGGAAAAAATTCTCCACTGTTAAAATGGTACGGCAGTGGAATAGACTGCCTAGAGAAGTTGTGGACTTCCCATCACTGGAGGTGCTAAACCAGAGGTTGGACAGCCACTGGTCAGGGATGAACTAGATATAACTGTGCCAGGAGTGGGGAATTATTTGGGCTAGAGGGCCACTTAAGGAGTTTTGGTGAGCTGTTGAGGGATGGAGATGGGGAGGGTTGGGGAGATGCCTATTGATCCTATCTGTCTGCCACCAGGGGCCTGAGGAGGGAGGGCTACACCCTGCACTGCTTCACTGTGACACTGGACCCAGGCCACAAAGTGTGCAGACTCCTGTGGCAGGTTAGGGTGTTATGTTTTGCATTGTGTCAGCATTGATTGTAACTTTACAGTTAGTTTAGATTATGGACTGGGAAGGCTTTAGATAGGAATGATCGTACCTCAGGCAGGTGGTTGGACTAGATGGAGGTCCCTTCCAGCCCTACTTTTCTGTTTCTACGATCACTTTGTACATCTAATATAAAGGCTCATTTGTAAGTCTACACATATCCATGATAAAAAACAGGATAATACTACATGTTCAAGGGACAATTTTGCACCACAATCTAAAGCCAAGCTGGCTGTGACCTATGCTATCCACACCAGAGGGCTCCCACCACGAATAGACTTCCTCTTGCATTTCATGGATGCCAGGAATTCAAACTTGTTATTATTCCAGCCACCCAGCAGGTGTCACTATTGTACCATGAATATGCATATCCAATCACTGACTACTAATAAAAGTTATAGAAATCAGAGCCCATGGAATTCAAGAAATTAGCACGATGTTCTAACTAACATAGAAAATACCCACCTGTATCCAGTTTTTTGGACTGAGGTCTTCTGAGTTGCTGATGGAGGCAGATTCAATTCCTATTTAAGTTACCAGGTTTGGAGGCACCATTTCTTTTCAAAATACAGTCCTGGTGCCTTTACGTTAAAGGAACATGTAATTGGGTGCCTAAATTCTGGAGCATCTCCTGCCCAGAAACCACAACAGTAACTGAGAAAGTGATGGGCAGCAGTGACTCTGCTGAGGTTGCTAAAGGCTGAAGTAAGCTAGAACCTTGCATGTTCAGAGCTGGGAGACTGATGCTGGAGCCAGGTTTTAGGGTCGGGATGACTTTAGTAGCATGACTAATTCTGCATGGCTAATGTTGACTTCAGCTGCTTTTGCCATGGATGGGGAAATACGGTTTCCTGCAGAGTGACTCCATCTGAAGAAGCTCCCACAATTTACATATGTGCTCCTGTAAAGCTGGTTAAAGGACTGTATTTTTATATGCCAGGCAATCAGGCCGAAACTTCATTTTGAAAATACTGTGGGAGGAACCTTTGGCACCAGGCCTAACAGATACCACACACCTCTGACATGCTCTGCCCTGTGACGGATGATCCCTCATCCATCTAGTGCTAGACAACTGTCAGGATTCACCTGTGCACTAGCTCCTGTTGGTCTAATTCTCCCCTTATAGGTTAGAGTAACCCCCTTTAACTCCAACAGGTGCTCTTTGTTTCCTTTGCCTTGGGAATTGGGCCTTAATCCTTCTTCCCTACATGCCTAACTGGCTTCTAGTCCACAACACCCCATCCAAACTGCCTTGAAAATGCTTCAGTTCCCCTTACCTCCGCCACCTCATGGAGACAACAGACCCTTCTCTTCCTGCTTCACCCTTCACCGCATGGCCACCAGGGCAGAGATCTCATTTTTCCTGCTTTACTGCCAGTACCACACAGCATTTAAACCCAGGTTTTCTCCTTTCAGGGCTGGCTTTAGGTATATACAACACAGGCAGCTGCTCAAGCTCCTGCTCTTTGTGTTCCCATGTAAAGTTTGCAACACAAGGTATTATCCTATGGCAGAAGCACACAGACAAGTAACACACATACTATTTCTATTAGCCCCTCTCCCCACCACCCTCCATTGGACCTGTAAATTGTGGGAGCACCACCAGGGGTGACAAGGAACAATGGTAATAAGCTGATGGAGAATAGGTTTAGGTCAGAGATCAGAAGGCAATATTTTACAGTTAGGGTGGCCAAAATCTGAAACCAACTTCCTAGGGAAGTGGTTCTCACCCCTACCTTGGGCAAATTCAAGAGGAGGTTGGATGATCACCTGTCTGGGGTCTTGTGAACCCAGCATTCATTCCTGCCTGTGGCAGGATGTCAGGCTAGATGATCTGTTCAGGTCCCTCCTGACCCTAGCTACTATGATACTATGACCTGTGGCATCTGCAACACAGATAGCAGCTCTCATATTTACAGTCCAATTTCTTAAGGTGCTTTTACAGTGGGAGTCCCCACCAAACTGCTTTTCACATTCTTGCTTTCCTCTCCTGCATAGCCCCACATCTCTGCTACAGCTCAGTCTGTTATCTTTTTTATCTAAAGATGGGCAAGTGAAAGGGAGAGAAAACAGTTAATTGTATTTCATATGGGAAAGGCACAGCTCAGACTTTCACTTATTTGCTGATTAGCAGAGAGAAAAGACTTGATTGTTGTTACTGCTACTGGAACAACTGGAAAGCTATAAAAAGAGTGACTGTAGTTAGCCAAGTAGGCTTTGCAGGGCTAAGTGTCTAATTGTTTATTCCCTGTCTACAGGATTGTCTCCAAAGAGCAGGTCTTTTCCTATAGGTTACTAAAGTGACCAACAGGGGAGGATTTTCCCTATGGGGAGGCACTTGGTCTTGACATCTCTCCAGCACTAAGAGTTCAGTGGTGATGATTAAAGTGAGGCTTTGCCTGGATCTGGAAGTCACTTTGGTCCTGTTGTTGAGATCATGACCAACATGAAGTTTAGACCCAAGGGCTCATTTGGGTCCATCACTTCATCAGCTGCTGTATGAGCTGTGCCTGATTGCTGTATAGAGCACTGATAAGGTGGTTCCTCGATTTTGCTTAGACACTGAAGCACAGCTTTATATCAGAATAGGCTGTATGCTATGTAGAACAGAGTGGATTAGTCACCTGGACTCTCTTAGGTATGAGATTCATTTGCTTCCATCTGGTCAGGAAGATGTTACCTGAACATCCATGAGCAAGTTTCTTGTGTAGATTTATTGCAGTCCATTTCATTTGGCTGAGTGTGGTGCCAGCCACACATAGAGCAGAAACACATGATAGCCGTGTTAAGTCAAGTAGAAGGCAGGTAAATTTGCAACTTATAAACTAACAAAAGTGTGTGTGTGTGTGTGTGTGTGTGTGTGTGTGTGTGTGTGTGTGTGTGTGTACACTACACATTTTTGTGAGCTCAGGCTCACAAGTACTGAGGTGTAGCAGAGTACCTGCATAGTGTTACCAGTAGGTAATATCTGTGTGATGATGTGAAAAAATCCTCAGTGAGACTATGAGATTTCCTGCTTTAGGGATGTGATTCTGACAGGTGCAAAGTACTCTTTACTCCCCTGGAACAGCTCAGGAACGATCCTTTAGTAAAGTGGCATTTTGAGACAGAGAAGAAAAAAAAAAATCACAATCGAAACAGGTTTAGAGATTCATAAAGTTTATTTAAAGTTCTGAAAGAGCCAAAATCAGGACTGTTAGTATGTTTGTACAGCTCTTCGCACAATGGGGATCTGACTCCTGCTTGGGATCAAAATCCTCAAAGCATCACCACCAATAAGAGATGGTTTTAGACCAAACCCCATGTTCACAGCTCAGGCAGTCTCTGGAGATACTTGAATCCTAGCCTGGCTCCATCTACCTGGTTCTTGTTCCAAAATGGTCCACTGAAATCCATGGATTTTCACTTCCCTAAAGTTGGGGAAATTTGGATCCCACATCAGATTCTGCAGCTGGGATCTCTCTGTGGAATAATGCAAATGCTACAGGAGATAAACCACCCCCAGCAGTGAAGCAGTCCAAGCCAGGCCTCCTCTCATCTGTTGCTCATGGGAATTGGATGTGGCACCTGCTGTAGATATAGTTCAGCCATTGCCAGAGGCGCTTAGGAGAATTTCATGTCACAGATCCCACTCAGAAGAGAGAGACAGAGAGAAATGTAGCACAGATCCACAAGCAGAGGAACCAGGGACTCCATTCAGTTCAGACTTACTACATGAAAAAAATCTGGTTATGATGGTAAAGAAAATGTTTTCTGCCATCAGATCCACAAAGCAAGATTTCTCTTGTGGTAGCGCAAATCACTGGGCTGCGCACTAATCCAAAGATGGGTACATTTAACATGACAGTTCACCTCCCCGCAGCCTCCATTCAAGGTAACCATTTGGAGAATTTAAAATCCCGTTGGTTCTGCACAATGTAAACCTGCCAGTTAATACAGAACCCATAGTTACGAGAAGCAACACTCACTGAAAGGCTCAAAGTCCTGGGATCTTTGCACCAGACTGCCTGTCAAGAAGCATGAGTCCCTGCACACTTATATCGAGATGCATACCAGGCTCTTGGCTACAAACTCCATCGGCTGTAGCCCATTAAGATCCCAGCTGGAGTCTGGCAGGGGTAGACCAGATCCTACACCTAAAACTTTTGGATGGTTATAGAAGCAAATGGCTCAAAGGCCCAGAGGCTGAACCTGCAGGAGAATCGTGGAGTGTATGGCACTTATTGCCAAGCCCAGAGGCTTCTCACAAATCTGGAAATGGAGTAGACACCATTGAACCTGCCCTAGAGATATCAGAGTACCTTCTACAGTCATATTCATAGTTACCTTCACCCTAACATCAAAGAATAGCACCAAAGGGAGAACCAACTCGCTGGAGAATAAGAGCTCCTCCTCCATTCACACACAGGAAAGCTGAAATTTGCTCAACAGGCCCAAAAGGACCTAGACTGAGCCCAACCACAAACATGTCACCCATTCTCATATGTTTTCCTCACTATTACATTAGTCCCACAGCCACTATTTTTAATCTGAAACGATATGTCACATCCCACTACAATACTACATTGCAGTGTAGTTTTCATTAATATTATGTCATTATGGCTTTCTTAAACCTCTGAACCTGCACCTAGTAAGACTTCTTTAGGGTTTAAGAGCAGCTGTGGGTAGTGCAGGAAGGACATGAAGATACATGAGCCACGGATGATGAAATGGGGGTTGTTGTGCTTGAGAAGGAACTGATGATGAGTGACACACAGATGTGTTACCTGTCTACATCCCCATTTTCTATGCTTTGCATTGGTGGGCCCTGCAGTCTAGTAATCTAAAATTACCCATATATTTTGAATGAGCATGTCCAGAGGCATTTTTAGGATGGATGAATTTTTGAGAATTTAAAATTGTATTCGTTGTGCACCTGTGACATAGATGAACCACCTTTCTTATATGTGTATCATTTTGACTTAAGATCAATGGAAATAAAATACAATGGCTAGGCAGCTCAGGACAACTAACACACATTTTAACGTGAGCAAATTAGTCTGAATGATAAATCAAAAAATTCCAGGCCTACCAAGTTTCATGCATTAAGGAGAGAGACCTTTGGAACATTTAGGAACAGTTGTAAAGTCTTTACAATAGACCCTTAGCTGGTGTAAATCAGTGCAGTTCCATCCAAATCAGAGATGTCTCAATTTCCAACAGCAGAGGAACTAGCCCCTCAGGTATTACACTAAAAAAATTCACTGAGTCTGCTGAAGTGACATCTTAAGAGGAATTTTTTGAAGTCTCCTTCATTCAGAATTGTCAGGTCTGCAGTTATTCTGGCCAAATGCTTTCTATTTCTCCTGTATTTACTGTGTTCTTTTAAGAGTTTCTATTTGTTTGGTAACTGTGCTGTTGCTGCTTACCCTTTTTTCTGCTGAGTTGGTAACTGAAGGACACTGCAATGGTATTAGATATCAACAGCCAGAGTCTAGTTCTCTGCTAGGCTGGAGATCCAATTATTATGAACTCAGGATCTGAAACAGAGCAGACTCAGGGGCAGATCCTGCCTTGGGATCGAATAGCACAGACCCATGTTGAATCCCACTGAAATCAATGGGATTAAATCACATGGGTGCAGGGGCATCTGCTACTGGATCCCAATTCAAAGTCAGAGTTTTATTTAATCTGGATACAAGTGTGCGGGCCGGGCACGAGCCGGGCCCTTTTTCGTGCTGCACGCGGGCTGTGGCCAGCAGCCCGGGCACGCGGGGTCGGAGAGAGGGGCGCAACAAGCTAGAATTAGGCACAGACTCGTAGCAGTAGTTTTAAAGATTGTTTACTTACACCAGAGATGGTCGTGGTGTAGGCTGGAAAACTTGCTTGAGTTGCGGTTACAGACAAAGACAACATGAACGGTCATGTGGAGTTTGCTAGGCTCCACAGAAACAGAGCTCCGGATGCTCTGGGTGAACGCGCCACCAAAATTGGACTCGTAGATACGTCTTATAAAATTTTGTTGCTCGAAGACGGGAAGAGGTGGGCGATGGATCAAGTCGCCAAGCTCCTCTGAATCTCACACAGGGGTCTTTATTTCCCTGCCGTGTACCCAGAGTCCCCACGAGATGGATGTGGAGTCCTCTTCGGCTTGGGCGGAAACCGCTCAAGCCTCTTATACGGCTAACAGGCCAATCGCTAGCCGCCACGTGGGAATAATTTAGAACTAGCCAATAGCAGGACACAAATTTGCATGCGGGTGGCAGGAACTCTTTTGCACCGTGCATTTCTCTTGCAACTTGAGCAATGCACCCTGCAAAAGAAGCTGCAAATAGGCGGGAAACTCGTCCCTGCACCGGAGTTTTCCCCCACAGCAGAAAACTCCACCGTGCAATGAAGCTGCAACCTGGCGGGGATAATTCTGGTGCCGAAGCACACACAAAATCATACCTTTGGGTTATGACAACAAGAAGTTCCTCTTGAAGTCAGAGGCCACTTCTCCAGGTGAAGAAGCCTTTTGGAGTCTGTACCAAGGTGAGTGGAGAAAGAAGCTGCACCTTCTTCCAGAAAGCATTTTAGCCAGGAAAGTGCTTGTACAGCTCCATCAGCTTGTTTCTAGCCTTCATAGTTCCTGAAATACCAAGCCCTAGAACAAGTCCTGACTCTTCAGTCTAACCATGCTACTCTTGGCAGCAGCCCTAAGGTTGCACATAACACGAGTGAGTTATTTTCATTCCTTGCCTTCCTGAAGGTCAAGGTTAGTGGCCCAAATGGCAGGATGCTTGTCTGAGCAACTTCCTGAGGAGAAACCTATGTTGGAATGATAAGGTGAAATGCCGAGGTCCTTGTAGAGTCAGAACTCCAACAGACTGCCATTTCAAAGTGGGGTTCCCCCAGGTGAAGACTTCAGGATTTGGCCCATCATGGTTTGAATAGCATTTTGATCATTTCCTGCAGGTTTAAATTTGTGTTTTGAAGGCTTATTGTTGTGCTTCATCTGAGACTTTTATAGAGGGCCTTGTGCTGTTTATAACTCCAATTGGTCAAAATCACCCAGCTCCTAGTGAAGGTTGGAGGTCCACCTGCTCATACAATGTGGAAAAAGAATGCTCTCGGTGCTAGCAGTGGCCATTGTTCACTCCAGCTTGCTACGTTCTCTTTGACATGGGTCTTCCCCCTCTTAGAGCTCTCTTGGGAAAACACCAGAGAAGTCAGCTATAAACTGGTTCCATTTTTTCTGCCAGACCTCTTCAGCTTTAGCTTTCTCCTCTGGCTGCATGGAGCTGTATCTGCAGGGGGAAAAGGAATCAGGATCAGACTGAGACAGAAGGGGAGGGGCAGCATACTTCAGGATCAGTGACCAAAATGAAAAAAAAACCAAACAAAAGAGAGACGGAGGCTTACTCTTGCCTCAGCTGCAAGTTTAGAAACATCCCCTGGACTTATTCCTATATGGCAGAAAATAGAAGGTCCCTTACAACTCTGTTGGAACACTAGGGTTGATATGGGTACTGATACCAGATCTGGCAAAGAGAGTCAGGTATATGCAAGAAGGGAGAACAGACACACAGGCAAGGAAGACAGACAAAGAGATGTTCTATTAACCAAGCACAGAGTGGATGGTCAGATCCCCAAAGTCCTGTGCTATGGGGCATTTAAAGAGAGGATTTTGAGTCTACATATGTGCCCAACTGCGCAGTTGTTATTGCATAGACATTTAGTACTTACCTTAGAAATTACTAAATGACTGCACAGTAACCGCTGATATTATGCAGTCCCAATGCCACATGGGTCATTTCCGATCCTACTGTACAGTAGTTCACTGCTATTGCGCAGCAGCAGCGTCACAGTTCATGCCTGCTGATACTATGTCACTGTAGCAATGAGCTACATAGCACCTCGTGTAGACGCACCCACAGAGTGCTAGCCCATCTGCAAAGGGGCTTAGGTGGAGAAAGCAAAACAGGTGGGCATACTGGGCAGCCAGGCATCTCTCTTGCTATAACCCAGAGTGTGAGAGCAGCAACTCACTTTAGAGAGTTCAATGCCAATTGTTTCAAGGTCCTCAGATCAGCATTCATCCCTCCAATGCCCATGAACACTTCGTAGAAGTCATACGACACTCCCTTTGCTCCAAAGACAGATGGGTCATCTGGACTGACCACTATGGGGTGTCCATCAGCAATCAGCTCAGCAGCAGGATGGTTCCTCAGATCAGATACTAACTTCAGGACCTTGGTGGTGGGGAAGAAGCCAGGATGGGTTATTCAATTCTATATATTTCTATTGTAAATGTATATGTTCATGGTAACCTCTTTAGCAGCTATGTTTTTATTATGCATTTGCCAGCACTTAGCACTGTGCAGTGTGTGACGTGGTTTCTTCCCCCACAGGTACACTGTTGTCTCAGTTTTCCCTCTTTCTGTGCCCCCAGGGACTTGCAGATCACATTTAGTTCTATTTCAAACTAAAGCCTTCCTTTCTTTTGAATCTAGGCACTTGTATCAGGTCCCTGCCCTTCCTAAGCCCCTCACTAAATCTAGTCCCAAGCTTCTGATCTTTGTTTTGGAGAGCTGTCTCCGCTTAGACAAGAGCCCTATACTGAATTGAATCCTGTCCCCATTCCACTGTAGTCCTTCCCTCTCTCACTCCTTCCTGCATTTTACATTGCTGTCCCCTGCAACAACTTAAATTCCTCTTAATCCCACACTGGGGACAGTTCTGACTGATCACTAAATTAAGTCTGTTTCCACAAATTCCAACATGTTGATTTTTTTCCCCTGATAAATCCCTGCCCACAGAAAATGTTATTGTTCCTGCTCCTACTGGCATGTCAAGGAGGCCTTGCAGGTCCTAGCCATAGCCTGCTGCTGTTGCAGGACCCTACTCTAGACCACAAACATTGTCACCTCTTGTATCCCTGGGTACTAAAACCAGTACAGCAGCAAGGACCTTCCTATTTCTTGGGCATATTAAGGTTAATTAGCCCAAGCTCCCATGACTAAACTGCTTGCAATCCCCAAGATAGCTCAGATATCTCTAACATTTCCACAGATCTGTACCTTTAACGTGTTAAACTGTTCCTGGCTCTAATACAACTAGTTTATCACATGTTAAAGATATGTTATTTTGTCTACACAAAACTACAAATCCTAATTTAGACAACTGCTGTTATTAAGGTGTAGCTAAAGTCTCGTAGATGAGTGGTGCCCAACCTTCCAGCCCCACAGGCAGGATGAGTGGCTTGGACTCAGTCCATGGACCAGATCCCATATGGGATTGATATGTGGGGTTGGTCCATGGGTATGATCCACTACACTGGCTTGACCCTGGATCTGGCTGTGTGCCAGCCAAACCCTGTGAGCCCAGATCTGTCTGCAGAGCAAACCTGTTTGTTGGCCCCACCATGCACCTGCATGATATAGCACACAGGGCCACATTATTTGACCCACAGCACTCCTCATGGAGCCAGAAATTTGGCAACAGGTGACTGGCAATTAACACTGCTAGTCCTCACCTGTCACCAAATTTCTGGACCAGCAAGTAGCCCCATGGGCTAAATGACACAGTTCTATAGGCCAAAGGTTGAGCACCACTGTCCTAGACTGAACCAAGAGTTTTGTTTTATACAGCCCCACAGTCACTCATGTAACTCCATGCTCTATTTATCTGATTATTAACATTTCTAAAACTCTAGCTTTAAATGGGCCACATCCCTGTAATGGATGTGCTGGAGTGTACACATACCCACATGACCAGCTTCCTGTTATATTGTGTTGGTGCCAAGAGGCATATAACTAACAATTCAAATCCCTGATTTTATCTTCTGGGGGAGAAAGGGGACATGGAGCACCCCATTTGTGGTTGGGGCTGGAGCCACAGAAGCTCCCCCACCACTCCACATGCCCCTTTCCCATGCTCCTTCTGCTCTGTGCATCCCTTTCCCCATGCTTCCCCTGCACTTCATGCCCCTTCCCTCCACTCTTGCACTCCACACTCCCTTTCCCCTGTGCCCTACATGTCCTATTCCCTCTGCCCCTTCCCCACATTCCCCTCATTCTACGTGTCCCTTCCCCATGATCCCCCTGCCAGCCCTTCCCCTAGGCTCCCCCCTGCACTATGTACCCAGGTTACCTCCCACACCACGCACTCTATCCCCATGTGGCAGAAAGTGTGAACAGGTGAACGGCACAGGGGTGAACATGGGGAATGGGCATGCGGTGTGGGGGGAGCACAGAGAGAGGGGTACGCAGGGGAAGGGGCACATGGAGTGAGGGAAGCACAGGAAAAGAGTGCAGGGATGGATGCATACTGCATAGTGCAGGAGGGACCATGGAGGAAAGGACACACTCCCCTCACTCCATATGTCCCTTCCCCTATGCCTCCCCTTGCTCTGTGCAACCTTTCCCCCTGCAACCCTCTACCACCCTTTCCCCTGCGGTCCCCCCCATACCACCCACCCCTTTCCCATTCTCTCCAATGCACCCCTTACCTGCCACATGAGCCACCCTGGCCCCCTCCAGAGCCAAAGCAGCTGCTTGCCTGGCCCATACTCTAAAATGAGAGGTTTATTTCCCCATGCTGAATGGGGGGAACCTCGTATTGTATTCAATTAAATACAGTATGATCACCAGAACCCCCCCACACAGAAAAATATATCTGTTTCCACCCACCTTCCAAAAGCAGAACACTGCAAGATCCTCCATATAACATCCTCCCAAAATGACCTTTCCTGGCAAAATGAGTCAGAATAGGAGGTCATGCAATAGGACAGGATCACCTGGACCTGTGTTATTATAACACAGATACTTCATGCTGCCCCAACCCTTAGCTACCGCACATACAAAAACAAACACATGTTGAGGAACATCATGTTGCAGGTCACCTATCAAATGCTAAATGTCTGTTCCAAGGTCCCAGCTCCTGGCTTCAGACAAAAGATTTCTCAGGTCAGTTCTACCTGGTTAGAGATTGGACAGACTTCTATAGGAACATCCATCTTCCGAGACAAGCTCCTGGCTACTGGATGTTTATTGAGGGTAAGTCCATGGCCAATCCGGCTAGTATTCAACAGTAAAGCATCCAGTACATTGTTGTCTGCAGAGGTTCCTTGCCAGTCTGAGGACAGAAAGCAAGCTACAGATCAAATGCAGTCCTATATAGAAACAAACAACCTTCTAAGCCAGGTAGATTACTTAAATAAATGCCCCAATATAGACTAATAGCAGTCCTCACAACTACAGTTTCAGTTTTTCTCCTCCACCTATCAGACCACCTTATGCCTGGGACACTGTGAAGCACAGAGGGGCACCAAGTGAACAAATAATACACTGAGTATAAATACATCATTCCAGCAATAAAGGTGGAGAGGATTTGTGTCCTCATGCTTACCAGTCTCACCAGCATGGAAAAAGTAAGGCAAATGGACTCCTAGAGAATATGGAATGGTCAGGATATCCTTCAGCTCCCAGAGAGAGTGTCCTTCATCCTCATACCCAACCTGGGAAGAAGGAAAATGATTCTGAATATGCAGGGGGTGATCACAGTGAGCTTGAAACAACACTATGTTTCTAACTGCACTGAAATTTCACAACTCTATTTCCACTTCTATTAAATACTCTGGATCAGAGCCACAGCTGAAGAAAATTGCCTTCATTCTATTCATTTCAGTAGAACTGTATTGGTTGATAGCAGCTTAGAGTCTGGCCCTTTGCACAAGATATTCCATACACATGGGATTAGCAAGAATTTAGGGTAGCCATTAAAGATACCAGTACATACCATTGCCATTGCATCAGATTAAATTTTACATATTTTTGTGCTAATCACTATTGAAAAGGAAGGGGTCTTATTTTTGAGAGAGTAGATAATACAAAAGCAGAAAGCCTAGGACAGAGGTTACTGCCCCTTGCACTTCACCCTGACACATCCAATATTATAGATTGTGCTTGCTGTCAAGGAGAAAGGTAATTGACATCAGCATTCCTGGAAATGGTTTTCTTAGGCAGTCTTCCCTTATGTCAGTCCCAAACTAAAATATTGCAATACCTGAGCTTGGTGCTCAGGAAGGGGTGCTTTTGATCAAGTGGGTGTCAGTCTTCCCTCTAGGGATTCCTGCACTCTTAGGTGCTGTTGTGCTGCGGGGGTCCTTGAATGAAGTTGAGATTGCTATTGCTGGTGGTTGCTTCACCTCCTGAACACAGGAGGTTATAAGTTTTGCTCTGAGGTATTAAACAGGTACTTTACCCCAGAAGGGCTGCATTTCAGCAGTGGGTACCTTTGAAAATAAAATGCCATGAGATCCTACAAGCTGAAAGGGATATGCTGTAGTGGGGCGACATATCAGAAGTGGGTATTGCTACATTCGATGTGTACCAGTAATCACACCCCAGCCGTTCTAATGTTATATAATAAACTAAGAAAGAACAACAAGGTTACCAGGTCAAACCCTGCTAAAGTGTCCGGGAACTGGGCTCTGAGCAACATGGCTGTGTAGATGGCTTCTTTAATCTGGGAAACATTCAGCATTCTACAGAAACAAGAAAGACAGAGAAAGGTGCTGGTGCTTACTTCCACGAGACTGATTTCTCAGGTACTACAAACTGGCAGTTTAAGGGAGCAGCCAAAAACATTATCAATTCCTGAATCAGACTACTTCAAGCCACCTTAGTAATCTCAGGTCAGATGCACTAAAAGAATACTATGACAAAGTAGTGTTGGAGTGTTTTTGTCACTGTGATAGTCCAGGAAGTATATGAGCAACAAGGGTTTTTTTATTATCTTTTATTAGATCAACTGAATAGTTGAGACAAAAATTTGACAAGCTTTTGGGCACATCCTGCCCTTCCTCAGGTATTATGAAAGAGGCATAGGAAAAGCACAAATGACTGTGCAGTTATCTAGGGGGAACCAAGAGTTGCGAGATGAGGCAGTATCTTTCATTGGACTAACTTGTCTAATGGGGATAGAGAAGAGACAAGTTTTCAAGCTTCAAGAACCCTTCTCCAGGTCTAGGAAAGAAGCAGCCACATTCCAGGCTAAGTAGACATTAGAACCATTGCTTTAGTTTAACCTAAGCATGTTAATGAATTTGAAAGGGAAGTGGGCAGTTACGACCTGTGAAACAAAGAGAAGTTAACAGAGGGAGGTAAGTTATAGTGAGCCATAAAACCAAGTCTCTGTTAAGTCCATGGTTTTTGGTGTCCAATAAAGTTACAGATAAAGGCCCATCTTCTGGGGGTATTGTGTAAGTTTCCTTTGATGACAAGGACTGTGAAGTCATAGGTGTTTTGTGAAAAGAGTTCTCTCATCTCCCTGTACATCAGGGCCACAACAGCACTTCTACCAGGATAGGACTCACAGGCCAATTTACTCACTACACAGCAGACTGGTCTGTTGAGGAAATGTTGAAATATGTTTGGTGTTTATTGTACTGGGGTTGTTCCCTTTTGTCTTTTAAATTGTATTTCAAAGTTAACTTGCCAAAGAATCTTCTAGCCTGGAATATTTATAAAGGCTAAAGGATACATGGTCCCTGTACAGTACCAACAACTCTGGCTGTTCTGCCACTGCTCCTGCAGAAATGGAGGCTACATCAAAACCCAGGGCTTTGAGAAAATGCACTTCTTTCTCAATGTATTCACATATAGAAAATTACTACAAACACTCTGCTTCAGCCACTGACACATGCTGTGTAGTACTAATACTCTAGGCCTCACCGTACCTGGAATCAACACTGTCAGCATCACTTCTAGGTTATCAGTAAAAAACTAGAGATAACGTCTCTTTCTGTTGTCACCTACTATACTATTTTATATTCATTGCTCCCACCTGCACCATAACATGACTGTTTACACAGATCGTTCTTACACACACACCCCTAACTAGGGCATCAGCTCCTACCTGTGTGCTGTAAATATAATCTTTGCTCCAATAAAATCAGGATGATCTTTAACAAACTGCCTTGTCACCTCCCGATATGTCACCACAGACCACGATTTGTTGTGTGTGGTACCATCCAATTCATACACCTGGGGGAAGAACAAACACATCCAAACAAAAGGTAAAACAGAGAGCAGTCTGTGATTATATAGGAGGCAGAAATTAAATTTGAGGGAAGGCTGGAACAAATCCGAAGTAACTTGTGGTTCAGGTAAGGAAAGGCAGGTGTGCGCCAAGGAGAAAAAAAAAGGACAAGTCATATTGTTCAGTATATTTTTTTCTTGAAGGCATTATTGAACAGCAGTTTGGTTTCCTGATGTATCACACAAGAATCAGGCTTCTAAATATACTTATATAGCAAGGAAGTGCCACTGAGGTATGGAAGTCTTTGGAAGAACACATGTTCTTGCTTTTGAACACATCACAGTCTGGAGTACAGTACTTTAACTACACATTCGTTTGATTGTTCACAAGGATGCTGTTTTACCATGGGCAGCTTGTTAATGATGGCAGACAGGACAGCAAGGGCAAGAAAGGAAGGGTTGGTCTTCCAGTAAGGCACTGGATTAGGACTCGGGAGTTTGGGTTGCCACTAGGACTCTAGTGCCCGTTTTTGCCAGAGATCTTCTGGGTGACTTAAGACAAGTTGCTTAATCTCTCAGTAAACTGCGAGTAACCCTTGATAACAGTTCTTTTGGTGTACCCTGGAGAGAACAATACTTCTTTTCTCTCACCCTTTCTCTCATTCATTTATTTTGGGAGCTCTCCAGTGCAGGGGTCCCAATTTCAGCTGAGGCCTCCGCTACTTATTACTGTAACAGGGAGCCCTAACCCTTTTACTGAGAAAGGGGTGAAGAGTGAGATGAACCCAAAGGTCCCTTTAGGAACAAGATTTTTGTGGCCTGGAGGAACAAGGCAGTTTGAACTTGGCTTTGGAGCAAGTAAGGGGCCTCACCCCCTTCAAAACCCAGCAGAGCAGAAGTCAGTGGAAGCTGCAAAGGAGGAAAAGAGGGGTGCACATGGCAGTAAACAGTCCAGGGAGGATAAAAGCTAGAGGAGTAGGGCTACCAGCTTCTGTGGGTAATAAGCTACCTAGGGACAGGTTTCACAAACACTAAGCCACAGACCAGAAATAAGCTAAGGGCGGCAAACTGGTACGGAAGCTGCTTAGTTAGAAACAATTGACCCAGGACTATGAGGACACCTCTTGTGAAGCAGCTTAAAGGTAAAGGAGGCTGCAGGTTGGATAATAGGACACGGCTGCAAGGGGTCTGAGAAGCAGGGATCAGCTGACTAGCAGGGGTGAGGCTGGCCAGTATATAGGCTTGCCCCAGGGCAAATTGGGTGCTTTAGTCCTGAAAGCTAGGAGGAGAGGGGCTTTACTGGAAAACATGGGGAGTTAAGCTCTACAAGGAGAGCAGGAGTGCTTAGTTAGGGTAGAGGAGTGTCTCTCTGTTGGTGAGTGTGTCCAGATGGGGTAAAGGTTTGGGTTAATGCTTGTTTTTGTTCACCCAGGGAGGGTGTGTTTCTGTTAAGAGTCTGTTTATAGAAACCAGTAGCTTGGGAGTGCCTATAAGGGGTGGTTTCGAGGCCACACAATAGGGTGCTTTGGCACATTACTGCAGTTTTGAGTAGTACAAGAGCCAGGACCCTGAATCGGAGAAGCTGAAGCCAGAACAGATGGGCTGAAGCCAAAGCAGAGACCAGAAGCCTGAAAGAGTGGAGACAGGGCCAGGGCCTTCAGGAACAGGAGCTGGCAGGGCTAGGAGGCCTGGTAAAAGGAGACTAGGACCTGTGATAGATGGGTGTGGCTACTGGGCCATGATTGCCTTTGCTCTTTCCCCACTAGCTGTAAAGAGCCAGTGGCTAAGACTGCTGCAAGGCATGCAGCATCAAGTTCCCTGTAAGATTTGAGGGCAACCTCCCTGGATATTAAGGCTGGATCAAGGCAAAATGGGCAAGCTTAAAAGATCACAAAGGGATGGGAGAGTGCAGGATTAGTCTGCAATTAGAAGCATCTGAGCCACCTGTCGAGCCGATCCTGTCAAGACTACTAATAATAAACAGAAGAGGTCCTATCCTAAAATTATAATGGATGGGCACTAAAATCTACTGCAGTGCCCTGCCTTATTTTTACACTTGCATCCTGCTCTATCCAGAAGGGCTCAGAGTTGTTTACAATAACAGCCACAACCCACAGAATAAGAAACAAAACCAAACTCCCCAGTTGCCAGTCTCAAAAACTTTGAAAATCGCCTTCCTGTCATCCAGAAGAGCAAATCCCCAACCACCATGTACGTCTAGATGTGAGAATTCTTCCCACTCCCCACCATCCTCTCCCCCATATACCTCCTCTGTGTTCCTCCCCGCAATCTACAGAGTCTTTGGCCTGCCTTAAAATGCGTATCTTCTCCTTCCCCCAACAAACACTTTTTTAATTTAATGTTGGAACAGGGAACTAATGGAAAGACCTTCCACCTCCACTTCAGGGCAATAACAAAGGGCTTCTTCCAGGAGTCCCTGGAAACTGAAGTCTTATTTCTCTACATGGGCAAATGCAGGACAAAATTCTCCCAAATGCCTTGGGCTGAAAACAGACAACCAGTTCAATTTCAAATTGAAACCTGTCTCCTTTTGTAATGAACCCCAGACCTTACAGAGGAACAAACACATTTTATCTCATCAAGTTACCTGTGAAGTATCCAAATTAACACATTGCCTTGGAACAACCCATTTAAACCTTCTGTCATATCTTAAACTAATCAATGCCCCCTTAAACGGGGTTGTCTGTATTTAGCCTTGGAGATGATATAGCAAGAGCATTCTGCAAGTGTGAAGCTAGTTTAGTCTCTGTGTTCATAACACAACCTGATTACTGAAACAAAGGCATCTGAGGCTGTTTAGGATTATGGAATAGTTAGTTACACTAGCCACATTAGAGAAACTGTAACAAAAAAAATTAACAATTTAAATATCAATATTATTTTCCTTAGGTGTCGGTCCTAATTATGCAAAATGGAGCGAGCGTTCATACCTCTCGGCAGTATCATTTCAAGCTGTCTGCACTCCCTAGAAGATAACACGCATCAGGTCATGTTCTGTTGATGTTTGTATTGTTTCACCTATTTAAGAATATTTTCTTGGAATAAGGTAAGCTGTTGTTCAAAGTGCTATTACTATTCCTGAATAACTGCACGTGATGACACTCCGACTCTGCCCAGGATGTTATTTTGGAAGAGCTAAAGTGGAAAAACCTATTCTGAAATAGCTCTGCCAGTCAGTTTCTCCATGAAGACAAGCCTTAATCTTGCCTTCACGATCATAAAGGCTGGACACAATCTTTATAAAGAAAAAGCAGTGAAGAGTGGATGGTACAATAAAACTAAACAGCGATTAAACCTAAAATCTTGCCTGTGTTCAATGTTCTGCCTAATTATATCTTTACCTAAAACTATGAAATGAAATATGTTTTTCCTGTCCCACTGTGTCAAGCGTACAAGGCTGTGAATCTTGGGGCTGGAGAAAAGTTAGAGAAACAACATCTTGCAGGAATCCAGAGAACCAAAAAGTGCATACCTGTGGGAGTATTGCTCTTATCTCGACATACTGGATGTTATCCTTGTAGAGTTCCAGCAGCCCCTGATAGAAATAGGCCTTGAACACGGGTGCATAGCAGACAAGGCCAGAAGCAGTGAGAAAGGCATTTTCAAATTTTTTCCAAATAAAAGCCTGAGTTGGGTAGGCCATCTCTGGATCATCTGTCACCAGAGTCAGGTTCTTCAGCAAGCTAGAAAAAGACAGGGGTGGAAAAGGAAGCAGAACAGCTAAATTTGGGAGCCTATGACACAAGTTGTCCCTGTGTGCCCTGGAAACACAAAACATAATCCTTCCACTGCAGATTTGAGCCTCCACTGAAGGACAAACTGTATAAATGTGGAATTCTGACACTCACCACAATCTCCACCAGTGTTTTAGATTGGGTGCTCAACCTGAGTGCCAAATGTGGCCTTATGGAGCCTTGGTATCAGGCCCATGGGGCTCCCCATGGGTCAGGCAGTTTGGCATTGGAGGAACAGGGCAGTACTGTCACTCCTCCCTGCTGCCAAAATCCCAAGCCCCATGGGGTGGGTTGGAACCAAGCTATAACTCCTCCCCTACACAGCTAGATCAAGGCCTGGCCATGCCCCCTTCCCTCTGCACAGCCAGGTTGGGGCCAAGCTGCACCCCCTCCCCTCTCAACCCCCCATGGGGCCAGGCTATGCCCCTTTCTCTCCACCTGGCTAGGCTGGATCATGCCCTCTGCCCCCACATCTGGTCAGGATGGGGCCTGAGCACACTCCCTCCCCACCACACAGCTGGGCCAGGACCCCTTCTCCTTGTGGCTGGACTGGGGCTGGGCTGCCCTCCTCCTCCCTCTGCACAGCTGGATGTGGTCCTGCTGCACTTGCCCTGGGCACTGGATTTGGTCCACTGGCCAGATCCAGCTCACATAGGGATTGAGCTCTACCCATCTGGCCTGCCAGACAAAAACATTGAGCATCACTATTTTAGATAATCTAAAAGAGGGGAAGGAACAGGAAAGGACGTGAACAATAGTACCTAGCACAATGGAAACCCACCTTTGTTAGGATATTTCTAGGCACTACCACAGTACAAAAAGTGACACCAATTACCAACTGAAGCAAGAGAAGAAATTACATCCCGCTCCCAAGTTAAAATGTGGCTCTGATACTAGTTAGCAGTCTACTCTGGTAAACTCTGCCCTCTCTCCAGCATGGTCTACTTATTACAATTCAGTCAGGTAACCCCTGTCAGATACTAGTTTAGTACCAGCACAGTTATCTCCCCTGGTGTCTCTAATACATATTGAATATGCAGAACAAAATGTCTCTCTGGAGAAGAAAAAAATCTCATCTTATTTTACCAATCAAAAGATCATGATCTGCAGACAGCAACCACCTGGCATAACTCAGAATTCCTGCATATTTTTTACTGGTTTGGAAGGTTGTTTACTTTGCAGCACTTGCATAAGTCTCCTTAACAAAGACAGAAAGGACAGCAAGTAGTATTATCAAGTGGAATTTGGTGGAAACAGATAGCAATTGCAAGATAATCAAGTTCACTGAGCAGCTGCAGGCAATTCTGTTTGAATGGACAATGAGGTAATAGTGGTTGCTGTATATTTATCTTTGGAACAGTTTAAATCTTTCATTTGGGGTGAACACTTATAACTCCCCTTGACGTTTCAATTTGGCAATTTGAACAATAATCTATAGAAGGTTCAAACTAATGTGCAAACGCAGAAGAGCAATGTAGCTGGTGAATAGCTTCATCCAGGAATGGACAATCTACTGAACTCAAAGTAAGGTGCAACTGAAGGGAAAACTGAAATGAAAATAGCTGGAAACTTGGGAGCTGGTTGTCCTACCTATTGAGTAAGGCTTAGTTTTGTGGAATATCAGAAACAAGGCAGGTTTGGCTAGAAGTACTAGGATGGAAGATCAACCAAGAATACCTTCCTGATAGGAGATGTTGTTTCTCTTTGATAACTGTGACTGCTCTTTGCAATATTTTGTGTTTGATGGGTTGCTTGGTGGCCTACCAACAGTCCTCTGATAAGTTTCAGGGGAGATTTGTGTTTTGTCTTGCTTTAAGAGTTTTTAGTGCACAATTAAAAATCCTTCTCCTACTGCTATTATATGCAATTACAAATATTGTTACAAATAAGGAATGCTGGACCTGAAATGGGGTGACAATGAAATAGAGGCTACTCAGCGGACATTTTGCATGTTGTCTCTTAGTCTGTAGTTTCTCCTCACTTTGTTCATTTGTTCTGCAGGATGCAGGGGGGTAGCTTTTTTTTTAGAGCAAAGTCATATAGAAATAACAACATTTGTGGCACAGTAAGGATGAGATTTTAAATGCATAACAGTCAGGAAATTCAGAGTTAAGGTTTCCACAGCAACTTTAGCTCTGCCCTCTTGTGCATTACAATAGGGCCTTTCGTTCCATTATCACACAACACTGGGCAACGCCAGATACTATTCAGTAAACAATACAATAAAATGGAAAGGAACTGAACCATAACCAGGGAGGCACATGTGTAGTATTTTGTATTGCTGCGTGAGATGGCGTTTGGCATTTCAGACATGTTCGGGAGAGCACTCGGTGGTGACATTGTAGCATCACCCTAGAAACCAGGAATGCAAGAGCCAGAGGCATCTTTTAAGAGCTTATCTAACTGACAGAGTTCAGTTGGAGATTGGCCTCAAGCAGAGAGGGTGTGCTCCTCTTCTGCAAGGAGGGTGGAAAGATTTTGTGTGGGAAGAACTTGGAGCCAGTAGCCAACCTCTAGGAAAACAGATGCAAAGCTCCAATTTAAACCAACTCCTCCTTTCCCCGGTACCTCCAATACAGGCTGTGGGGCAGTTACTCTCCAAATGCAGACTGTCAGCAGAGAACACCTGCCCACAGAATGATTGAGGGGGCATCCAGGTCAAGAGCAGAAACACTGAAGGAAAACCACAGGGTGGATCAAAACCATGTGACTCTATGTATGCTACTGTGCAGTTTCACTTTAGATAAGGACCAATGGGCAGTTTCTTATCAGACTCATTTTTCCATAGGCTTTTTTGTTATCTATACACTCCTTCAGCCATAAGTGTACAGGGTACACTCTTCTTCCCATTTTTATTTGGGGGAAGGACTCAACTCAAACACAGATTTTCCTGCCTATATAAAACTTGGTGTTTATTTTAATCTATGCTCTTTCAGTGGAAAATAGCAATAAAATGCTATGAATCTACCCTTGCCCATGAGACATAAATCCTAACATTTTGTTTACAATGCCTCTTACCTTGAGACTGACTTTTGATCCTTTTAACTGTGTAGATTTATTATATAATAGGGATCCCTCCTTAAAAAAGAGGAACCAGGAGGACAACCTTTGCCAAGAAGGAAAGCTGGGGTCTGGGAGATGCAAATAAATGCTTAGATTATTCTCCACAATGAGCCGCAGTCAGTGATCAGGCTCAGCTAGAAATATCCCTGCATGTCAGTTCACATATGGTGTGTGATCATGGACTGGACGCTGCTATAGAGGGCAGAGCAAGGCAAAGCAAACAGAGGGCAGAGCAAACAGAGACCTGCAAAGCATTTCTTAAAAAAGTCTCTTTCTGCTTGTTTTCTATTCTCCACCCTCAGCACTGCAGAGACTGAGGTCCTCCTGCTGATGTGCTTAGCAATGTTATTAACATTTGTCACCCATGATTCGCTTTCTCTCAAATCCTCTCCCCAAGGGGACCCTGAGGTGGGAAAGGGAATTTGTGGCTATAGCTGCATAAGTGTTCATTTATAGTAAACGTTCTTGCCCAGGTCTTTTAAAATTGAAAGTCCATTGGTTGATTTCATGGATTGTTTCTCTTGTTAATTTCCAGCCTCTCCACTTCCTAGTTGGAAACTAGGTTAAAGTTGGAAACTAGGTTAAAGGTGGAAGGGCATACACCCCTTAAAAACCCCTTTAACACTTCTTGCATTTGCTTAGCCTCGCCATTTTGTACATGATAAGAGATCCTGGCCCCTCCCCAGGTGCCATATGCCCTTGATACGCACTCGCAGCCACTCAGCTATCTATCATTTCTTTCCCCTCACCCCCGACATCTGCTTTCTCTCAGCCTGTCAGTGCTCAGGGGCAATGCTTTGCAGTAGGAAAGAGGTAGCATGTGGTGCCCATGTTCCACAGACTGGGAGTGTTTCCAGAAACTGAAAGGCAGAAGAGATTGGGGCTCATTCCTGGCAAGAAACTAATTTCCACACTACCAGAAACCCATCTCAGCCCCCAAATTAACACTCAGAGATTAGATAGAAATAGAAGAAGGTGCTCCATCAGTCTGGTGGCTGTCATTTTGTGCCTGGATATTATGTGGCAACAGTTTATTAAATTGTCTTGTAGTGCTGGATACAGAAAATGAAAGGCAGCACACGCCAGGAGATTGGCCACGGCACTGGGACTCAAGAGACCTACATTCTGCTCTTGCCTCTGGCACTGACCTGCAGGATGACCTTTGGCAAGTCACTTCAGCTCCCTGTGCCTCTCTTTCCATCCTATTTAAGCTATAAAATTTGGGGCCAGGAGCTGCCTCTCACTGCTTGTACTGCTTAGCATATCGAGGCCCTGATTTCACTTGAGGCTGCTAGGTAACGCTGTAAGACATATTACAACACCAACAGCAAAACAAAGGAGAAAGCAATGTTTCAGAAAAGTGTTCATGTCCTCAAGTACAACCTGAAAGAGCCAAAACAAGCATGTAGTGCATCTCCAAGGAAGCTTCCCTGAGGGTCCCTACTCTCATTCCTAGATATCAGGGGTGTGAAACATGCAGCCAAGGGCCAGATCTTTTCCATCTGGCCCACTGGTAGTCTGGTCGGCTACTGGAAGTTGCAGGCATGGTCTGCTGTAGAATGTAGGGTCCCTGGACCCCAATGGACATGGTCAACAGCAGCAGCCCCCCGACTTGTGCTAACTGTGCAAATACAGCTCTGCACTGCTGTCTGAATGTGGCCCAACTGCAGTTTCTGCTGGGCCTATGGACCCAGCCAAGGAGAAGTCCCCATGGCCCACATCCAGCCTGGGGAGAGTGTGACAACCAAATGAATAAATGGGAGATTGGGTTGGTTCCTGAGAACACTGTAAAACAACCAGTGCAGCTGGTTGTGGTTTAGAAAATGGACAGATCTCTAAAGGTGATCCAATGCAAAATTTCATCCCTTGTGTTTTGCCTGCCTCCTAGAAGGGCAAAGGGGAACTAGTGCCATGGACCCTCATCACCACTTCTGCTGGAAGCACCTTCTAGAAGGGATGAGGGCCAACAGGAACAGATTTCCTTTTGGAAATCCAACCCTGAACCCCAACCCACTTCAGAGGGAGTAAAAAGAGGACTTCCTGATAAGGAACAATTTCCCTCAGGAGATGTTGCTGGTGCTGAAACTATTGACAAGAAAGGCTGGGAGCCTTGCCTCAGCCAGCTTAATCTTTTGCAGCTAACAAGGAGGGAGACATCTGGGAAGCCAGTGCTCTTTAACCCACCCTCTGCTTTTATCAGAGGAGGAACAGCTGCACTGCCCTTGACACTTGGCAGCCCCGCAGCCTGACAGACTCCCAGAATCTTTAGTGCTCGGATTCTAGGTGTCTTCTGTGTGGAAGTGACCCAAGAATTAAACACATCCTCTTTAAATGCATTTGTGTATATTATGCCCCCAAAATCCCTACACCAGGAGAACATTATGGTTGCAAAGTCAAACACTGAAGGCTTAGGCTATGCCAGACTTAAGGTTGTCTGTACAACTGTGATTTGGTCCCTTGTATGTATGCGTTTGGATACAGGCTTTGTGTGACAACATACTGTTTCTTTAATAGCACCTCTGCTTCATTCAGTGCACAAGATGGATGGTGCTCACTACATGGATCGTTAGTCAGGGTTTCTTTTTATTCTCATCATTCAGTGTGTGACTCCATGCTTTATTTACTGCAGACCATCCCAATCCAGCTCTAAATATAGAATTATTTGTTTTCTTTTGGCCTTTACTGGGGTGTTTTGTCACATAATCCCTGGCCCCTTTTGAGGGAGACAGGGCCCAATATACCCTTGACAGCCTTTTTTTAAAAGAAGGAGCCTGTTCCAGCTCACCTGTAAGTCACTAAGTGTGGCTAGGTGGCTTCTGAGCAGCTAATCAGCTAACAAGCACCTGGTCATGATTAAAGACTACAAAGTCAGTTGTTTAGGCTTAGTGCTAGACAAAGCCCCTTGGGAAAGTAGCCTAAAGAGGGATCTCTGAGATGGCTGCAGGAGCTCCAGTTGGTGAGCAGCTGTAGTCACCAGGAAGGTATCAAGGGGATGAATGTTTGTGAGTAAAGGGCCTGGTTTTAGAACTGATGGGCTTATTGATATAGGTAAACCCATAATATACCTTTATACTATGAAGCCAGGGTGGAAGCTTCCTTGTGTTTCTGCTGACTTTTCTGTGAATAAATAGATGCAGAAGGCACCTGCAATGCTGTGCCTAACTGCCAGAAAAGTGTACAAGTGGATGCATTCTCCCTGTAGCATCTTTGATGTTGTCCTTCAGAGACTAAGGAGTTCCATCTCAAAGTAACCCAAAAAGGGAGGATGTAGGGAGGTCTTTTTTCCTCTGAATACTTGGGGAATCAAGGCACAGAACAACTTGAAATTAAACTCTCAAAAGCGTCATTTAGTTTTGGGTGTCCAATCTGAAAGCCCAGCACCTGACATTTTTAAACGTACTGGCCTTCTTATCAGGGGTGCTGGTTATAGCTGTATCTGTCTAAGCACAAAGGCAGACGACTTTCAGGCCCAAACACCCTTCTCCAGGTATAAGGATAGTCTCCTGGTGTTCATGTGCTCTCCTGGGTGAGAAGCTTAAGTCAATATGCAAAATGCAAGTCTGTGAAAATGCAAAATGTGTGGCAGGGAAGATTAGAGGGGATAGGAGTGAATAGATGCAAGGCAGAATGTAGCTGGTAAAATGTAGAGAGGTTACCTGCAGTTATCAGATGGCAAGCAGGTTATAATGTGCCTGGCTTTCTTATATCACTTTGTATGTTCAGTGCATAGACCTCAGTTATTACTGTGACTGCTCAGTGCTTCTGCACAGTGGATTCCATGGTCTCAAGCTGGGAGCCCCAAAAAGTGAGGCACACCTAATTAGTGACACCCTGTGAAAAATTTGGTTTAAGTAACTTGCCCAGCCTTGCACTCTGTGTGAAAGGCAAGTGCTGAATCTCATTCTCTGTAGTGTCATTCATGTGCCTTAACCATGAGATCCATCTTTCTCCTGCAGTCCTGTCCTCTGCCTTGCATCATATTTGCCAACTTCTGTGCTCAGAGGGTAGGGTTCTCATAGACTAGTCTACATCACTGCCCAGCCAAGTCCCAGGCCCAACCCCAGCAGACCCTACACTGAATGAGGCATGGTTCCTACATTAAAATAGTAATATGGAATCCCTGCAACATATGTCCACAAGATAACTGCAGTAAGGTTGCAGAGGTAGTCTTAATTCTAGCATTTCTTAGCTTTTTCAGTGGTTGACTCTTCCACCTTGATGTTCTCCTTGCACAGGTCTGCATGGGTGTAATGTTCTAGAAGCAGAACTGTCATGTTACAGCTGCTAGAGGACACAGGTGGAGCAGTGACCTTGTGAAACCTCCATCCTGCTGCAAAACAATCACCCTTCACTCCACAGGAAGCACAGCATAACAGTGGTACAAAACTGCAAAATGCTTGCAAACCATGGTTCACATACCTGTGATCAAACTCTGTGATGTTGTGCAGCTGCTTCCGGTATGTCTCCAGCAACACCCACTTTGAGCAGTTGGGTGGCACTTTGCTGGGAGGGTGAGGCTTGGAAAACCTGAACCGAACTGTGCCCAAGCAGGTGAAGCAGATATAGCAGTCAGGGAGGTAGGTGGCATTGTTCACCAGCCAGTCTGCACTCAGAATTGCGTAGTCATGCAAGTGTAGGACTGCACCTGTGGAGAGGAAGGGCAAATTTAATGAGGAAGAGCAGCTGAAGGGAAAGGGAAGTAGGGTCAATGTGACTACAATTAAGTCTACCCATGCAGGGGGGCCTGCAGGGTCTCAAAGACAGTCATACCGGACCTCCCCCCAACAGCGAGACTCGAACCTGCCCTGCCTCCCCTGCAGTATATGGAGATGGCACATTCCACATCAAACACAGGGCAGGCAGACCGTGACAGCTCAGTGCAGGGGAGGGAGAAATCAATAGGGACTTCTATGCTCTACTTCTCCACTGGGATGGAAAATGCACTGAGTTATTAAAGGTCTTTCAGACACGCTTTGCTGTGAGAACTGGCTCAAACCCCACACATTTAAAGAGGAACTTTTGCATTAGCTAGCACTTTACGACACGTGCTACTTAACAGACGGACCTGAATCTAAGTAGTTTTTGTTCCCATTTGAATTTAGCATCTATCCTGTAGCTCTCTGCTCTGAGTGACACCAAACCCTCAGATATCAACAGGCTGGGGAATTTTGGAGTTGGAGCAGGATGTGTCCTTCCCTCTTATTTATCAAACCAATCCACATTTCTGTTTTATGTGCTGCCAGCCAGTGTTCCTTGCCTTGAACTCCTTTGCTATTGTCCATTAGGTTGGCAGCTGCCAGAGCCTCATGAAGACGGCCCAGGGGTTGTAAGACTTGCTCTCCTTGCTCACCCAGTTCAACCTATCCCTCTGCATTATTAAAATGCACCTCAGAAGGCTCCATTCCCTTTGTAGAGGTTGTGTTGTGTTTTTAGTATTACTGTATCTGCTGAATGAATCTCCCTTCTAAAAAGATGCAGTGGGATCTGGATTTCTTTTCTGAATATATTAACTTGCATATCACATTAATTTGATGGAGTAATACTCTAAATCTCTTGAGTGTCAGGAGACTTCAGAAATTAAATACTGCATTTAAAAAAAAGAGTACTTGGTTGTTAGGCTACACAACTGTAGATCAGGGGATCTGGGTTCTAGCCTAGGCTGTGATGCATAGTGTGTGACTAGACAAATCTCTTCAGACCAAATTTTTAAGAGGATCTACCAGTCTGAATGGTCTGCATTTTAGGTGCTGAGCAACTGCAGGTCTTGATTTTAATAGACCTATAGCGGCTTAGCAAATTTGAAAAACTGGGCTATAGCAATCTAAAGTCACTGCCCAAAAACATTTGACAGTCCTTATGGGCCAGCAGCAGCATGAAAGCTTGGGTTAACATTACAGTGTTGCTCAAGATGCAGAAATTTCCAGATGCTCCAATTAAGGTTGGGATTTCATTGTGCTTGGCATATGTACAAATATATAGGTACTTTGCCCCAAAGACTGCATCTTACAATCCTGACTGGGGGCACCCATACACATACATTGAGGTTGCTCTGATTAATTGCGTTGGCTGGAGCGTGGTAATTACTGTGCTCCAGCATCACGAGCATCAGTGTCCCCATGCTGAAAAATGGTGGCGTGGACACTTTTTAACTAAAGCACATTCAATGAGCTAATTCAGTGTGCTTTAGTTAAAGCGCCACCATTTTTCAGCGAAGGGATGATAATACATGTGACACTCTGGGCACTTTAATTAGAGAGGCTCTTGGAGCACGTGTGTAAATGCCCCAGGAGGCTACTAATGCTTGCTGAGTAATTTAAGAACCTTTTAGATGAACAAGTGTGAAATCCTCCTATTTTTCCACGTTTCTTTTAAAAAAGGCTTTGTTTCCTGTGTTTGATTCAGCAGCGAAGGGATAATGGCAACTTTGACATCTCGGTAATTTCTGTGGTGACCCATTATGAAGTCGTAAGCCCTGGAGTCTGACTTCACTGCGGATACAGAGAAGGAAGCAGCTGGAGGTTTGGGAGATGGCTCTTAGTCATACATTAATCTTGCACCACTCAGAGTAATGATTCAGAATGGCATGAGCAAAGGAGCTGTCATTTTATATAAAACTTTCTACATTTTCCTTTATAGCAGCCCTCTGCCTTTCAGTCCAATAGCGATATTGACAGGGTTCTTATTAACACGCACAAAAAAATCCACCCAAAAGGTAAATTCATTGCATGAGAGGCTAGTGTGTACCCTGTGTGGTTTCAAAAGGAGAGTTTTCTATATCCTACTAAAGAAAGAAGCACCATTCCAGAATACCTCTCAGATCAGAGAAAGAGGTAGCAGCACAGAAAGAGAAAACAGACAGTTGAGAGTCAAAGACCTGTGATTACAAATGCCTCGATCTCTTCCCTCCCCCACAGAACTGTCAAGGTCCCAGCAATTCACAGAGTGAGCAATGGCAAATGCCCTGCCAGTCAGACAGGATGGCTTAGGTTTCACGTGGTCAAAAATATCCTCTCTACCACTCAGTGTATTGTTGAGGACCAGCTCTTAGTATGCCAACATGTTCCAGACAGCTTTCAAAACCAAATGTATGAGATGACATTGGGCAAATGTTTGACACTCTTATACTGTGTTTTATCCCAAAGCACCTTGCAAACTGTGCACTGTATGGTACAATGAAACCACATCTAGCATAAAAAGTAGTTGCTGTACAGCATGCTGCACAACAGTGAAGGAAGGGGAAATTTTGGTCAAGGGCAGCACCACAAACGCATGCTGTATTAGGGGATGTCTTTTGTGGGTGTGCAGAGCAGAACTCAAAGGTTTTAAAGATGCGTATGAATGATTTTAGGTATTTGAGGTTTTTGTGTCTGTTCACACTGATGAGTCTTCATGGGGAGTGCTGTATTCAATTTTGAGACCCTAAGTTCAAGACAGATGTGGACAAATTAGAGAATCCAACAGAGAACAACAAATATGATTGGAGTCTAGGAAACAACTTATGAGGAAAGGCTAAAATAATTGATTAATACAATATGGAAAAGCGGGAGGAAGGATTTGAAAACAGTTTTCAAATATCTGAATGTATGTATATATCTGGCTATAAAGAGGATGGAGTTAGACAGTTCTCCATGGCTAAAGAGCATAGGATAAGGAGCAATGGTCTTAAACTGCAGCAAGGGAAATTTGGTTTGGATATTAGAAAGAACTTTATCACTATGTAGGTAGTTAAGCATTGGAACAGGCTATTCATAGAGGCTGTAAATTAAAACCTCTATCCATGGAACTTTTAAGAGCAAGTTAGATATAAACACTTGACTGAGATGGTTTAGTCGGAGATGTTCCTGCCTTGAGCAAGGGGTTAGACTAGATGAGCTCCTGAGCTCCCTTCTAGCGTTTCTTTTCTATAACTGTTATGCAGGGGTGTATAGTGTTCAACCTCCAACCCATGGGCCAAGTGCAGCTTGCAGAGCCATGACATCTAGCCAGTGAGGCTCCTTCTAGTCAGTAAATATGGTAGCAGGGGAGCAGTGGCAGTTAAAACAACCACCTTCCCCTGCTGCCAAATTCCTAAACCACAAGCCCTGCAGCAGGCCAGAGCCTGGTCATGCCCCCTTCTCCCCAACAGGGCCAGATTGGGACAGCATTAAGTCTCCTTCCTGCTCCCCAGGGTCAGGCTGGGGCCAGGTCAAGCCCCCTTCCTCCCTCACAGGGCTAGGTTGGGACCAGGTTAAGCCTCTTTCCCCCCCATCGGCTTGGGTCAGGGCCGGGCTGCTCCCCACCCCATGCCACATGGTTGGATGGGGCCCCACCTCAGGCACTGCATTGGATCTAGCCAGATTCAGCCCGCAGACAGACCAGGCATTGCCCATCCAGCCTGCTGGGTGAAAAGTTTGAGCACCACTGGTATAATGCATACATTCCATAGACCACAGAAACATACAGTCTCCAAAGGGCTAATAGACCTATATTGTGTATAATTACCTGTGTAAGGACATGTGAACAATAACATCATGTTCAGCTATATCATGTCCATAACAATTATGCAATGAATTTAGACAAAGAGGCTCCCCTTAGTTCTGGATACGGGGATGAAAGGTTTACCATGTACAATTATACTGCAAGTCCACCAGTCTGGAAATCCTTACATACTAATCTAGTCTTTCCCTTCCCCAAGCTCAGAAGAGGCAGATCTTTTGAGGATCTTCACAGGACCTTGTCCCGGTCATTGTGGTTTGGGTGCAGCGTGAGGGCCACATGGTCATATTTCTGCTCTCCACTGCTACTCCTGTTTGAGTGGAGAAAGCTCTCAAGGGAGAAAACAGGAACCCTACCTTTGGGCATGCGTTTTAAGATGCTGAACACTGTGCTTTGGTCAATGAGGCTTCTGGCCCTGAAGAAGTGCATGCTGGGTGGGAACTGTCCAGTACTGATGGCCTTGGCCACTTCCTTCTCCTTGAGGGTTATGAGCTTCTCATTGAGCTTCTGTTCCCAGTTCCCAAGCACCAGGTTGCCACCTGTCCGATGGGCATCCTCTTCCTCCATCAAGAAGTCCCGGTCTTTCCACAGTGGGAAGGAAAGGCAAAGAGAAACCAGACTGGTGACAAGCAGTACTAGCCATCTGGTTGGGCCAGCTGGAGACTTCATGTCGGGGACTAACCTGGAAGAATCAGAAGGGTGATTGTAGACCAAAAAGCCATATTTTAAAGTTGGCATGTTAAGTCTTTAATGAGTCAACCAGTGGATGATGTGTGTGTGGCCTTCCTGGCAAAGTACCCTTTCCTGAGAAACAGATCAGTCAAATAGCATACATGGCACTGATTTCTGCTCTATTAAAGAGGACAGTCAGTTCCAAAATGTTCTGAACACGGAATTACTTTTGAGTAGTAAGATCTTGTATGATGTGTGAATGGGGTTGGTCAGTGTTGGAACAGGCTGACTGTACATCATTCCATCTAGTGTCCTCAACACTAAGAGGACAAGGTCTGTGGCAAAAGGCTGGGTCTGTAGGCAGAGGTTGGGGAGGTCAGAGCACTGTGCTTTTGAGCCAGCCCAAGGGTTAAAGGACAGGTAACTCAAAGTGCTGGTGAGCCAACGAGTAGGTCAGGATATATGTGCAGAGCAACTGAAGGAGACCAGTCCATTGTAAGATGAGATACCCAGAGCTTCAGAACCTCTCCTGTTCTGCTACCATATGGCCCAGGAGAGACTCTGCTGATGTATTCTAGCTGCTAAAAGGGGTAGTGCCAAGGGGCTTCATATAAAGCCCATAGTACAATACTATCCCATTCACAGCACAAATCAGCATGGGGTGCTTGGCTACCAGCACCATAAGGGGTAGTAGGAAATGGAGAGGGGAGAATGTGGTGAGTAGTACTGTCCATAACTAGGAGTTTTTCCCTAGGTCTAGGCATTCTGAGGCATCCAGACTGACTGACTCTTTTTGTAATAGAGTCTTTGTTTATAGTGGGTGTATGCGGGCAGTAGATGGGGGAAGATGCTGACTTAAGAACTTTCCCAGACCCCAAAATTTCCATGGGTGGCACTAGTAATAGAAATACATGGGTCAGAGAAGCCAGACCCCTGCAAAATGAAAGAATTCTACCCTTCCCAAAAGAGCACCGCTGCAATACAATCTCCTAACAATAGGCTTCAGTCTGGAGGATCACTGATCACAGCAGACCAACTCCCGCTTGAGAGAGGCTCACGGTTGTAAGGTGGTTCCCTCTGTACATGATGTCAGCATACATACACACTTCCAGCTTCAGCCCTTTTCCCAGTCCCCCCCGACTGCAGCTCCACAAGCCCCTCTCCACCTTTGCCCTATTAAGCCCCCAGCCAAGGCTCTGGCCAGCAGCGTCAAAGAATTTGAGGCGCAACTCGACTCCAAAAAGAGAAAATTACACACCAACCCAAGACTAGCGTGGCTGTGAGCTGAGAGCTTGGGGGAGGGGGCGAGAAAGGGGGAGAAGCTGCTGTAAAAGATCTCGCAACAGCCCTGCTAGAGACCAAAGCACTTACAGTTGATTTTTCTCTTCTTTGTGTCCCGAGTTCATCCAGCTGCAACTAGGGCAGCAGGTGCTAGTCACCTCGCTTGCAAGCAGCAACTGTCACCAGCCATAGAGAGGGAGAAAGGTTTTACCGGGCAGGCACAGCAAAACAGCTAGCAAAACAAGGAACAAACCAGCCCAACCACTAGACAGCTTCACTTCCTGTATCAGTTTCACTTCATTCAGCTTTATTTATCACTCCTTTGTTCCTATGGCTTCATAAATATATAAGAAAGGAGGGGAGAGGAGGTTGTGAGAAAGAGGAACTAAGGGAATGTTAGAAACAGAAAGCCCTGGCAGGCCAGGTGAAGGGGGCTGAGGTAACAATAGCTGACTTAGCAGGAGGAAATTCCAGAGCAGCATGGAGGATGGGGAATAGAGACTGAGAGCAGCAGGACCGCATACAAAAACATCCCCACATCTCCTCCACACAGGATAAAGAATACCAAAGGAAGGGGTTTGCTGTGATTTTTAACCCATTCACTGCCCTTTTGGGAGGAATCCTTGTCACCTCTATGTAACTGTTACCCATCCATAATCTGACACGGATACACAGATAAGGCATGCTGGAGGAATTGGTTGAGTCTGGGCTCTCTGATCTGTTTGGCTTTCTCACTCTTGGGGCCCACCCAAACTGCAGAGAAAAGCACATCAGCTGAGCTATTTTAACACATGGCAGGGTCACGCAATTTTAAACACGGACTGGTTTGGCTAGCAAGTGCTGTGTAAAAAAAACATACAAAAGCTCCCTCACTAGTCCTTTTTAAATATAGCTTTAACTGGTTTTGCCCAATACACAATGAGTGAGCAAAAGAAGCCAAAGTCAATAGAATTATAGCTGGGGTGAAGCTGGCAGACTCTTAGCAGAGTTGAATTTAGGACACGCCTTCTCTCATGTATGTAAGTCAGGAGTCACTCTGGCCAGCTCCTGTACCAATGTAACTCCATGTAGAAAAAAAAATTGTGACAGCTATTGTAGCTTTCAGGTTTTCATCTTGGATGATTAAATATGCCTAATTGTGTCTTAAAATATATTTTAAAAGACTCGTTTTACCAAAAGCTTTACCTTCATTAAAAATAAAATAAGTTATAACAATTTTGATCAAAATGAACGTGTTGCAAAAAAATTAAAACTCTTGACAGTTCCTGAATAATCACACACACACACACATACACACATACTAAAATACACCACAAGGCTATTTGTCATGGGGAGGGGGGGAACCTTCCAGTTTGCAATGGTTCAGCCAGCTCTAGATCAGAATCAGGCAGTAGTGTTTAAACATGATAGCCTGCACCACTGCTGTGTCTTCAGTATTAGTATGGGTGGGAGATGTGAAAGGTTCAAACTGAACCAAACCAGTACCTCTTTATCAGACATGCTTCTTCCCCCTCTGCTACCACAACACTGATGATTATGGCCTAGGAGGCCCCTACTAGTCCTGTGTTTACCTGTCATCAATCCAGTCCCCAGCACTGGGCTTTTCTCTGTGGCCATAGCAGACAGGACCAGGAGAATGGCCTCAAGCTGCAACAGAGGAAGTTTAGGTCATGAGTTCTCAACCCCCAGGCCACGAGCCAGATCCAATCTATGGGGATCGTCAAAGGTCCTGAAATTTAGCAAGGAGGAGAAACAGTGGTTAATGCTGCCACTGCTCCCCCATTACCAGATTTCCAAGCTTCAAGGGCCTGATGACATGACCCCATGCATGGGGGCCCTGTGCTTGGGAACTCCAGGCATGGACAGATATTTGGCTAGGATGGTTTAGTCAGGGATGATGCTGCCTTGAGCAGAGGTGGGGACTAGATGACCTTGCAAGGGCTCTTGCAACCGTACTTTCCTATGATCAGTACTTTTGAACCTGATTCATCCTTGTTTTCAACCCTACCTGAAGGATCACATGTGGAGGGTATCCAGGACCTAGTCCTGATGGCCACTCAGATATGGTAGGACTATAAGTACTATCTACAATGCTGCTGCTATAGAAGAGAGACCAATGGCCTGGTGCATACAACTTCCTATACTGAAAGTAAAAGGAGATGTAAATACATAGTGTTCCACAGCAACTATTAGTTCATTAAAAGCAACCCAAGGATCAAAGCATAAAGTGTATGAGGAGCACTAGTGTAGGGATGTGGCCAGGCACCTGGAGGACAGGGACAGTGGCAGCAGCCCTCTTTTGTACACTCTCTACCTAAAGTCAGCACCTGCGGCAGTTGCCCCAGTCACTCCACCCTAGTTACACCACTGATGAGAAGGGACTGAAGAGAAATGCTGTGGAGTAGAAAAGAAGGTTTAGGAGAACAGGTACTCTGGCTATAAACAGCTTCAGGGGAACAATAAATGAAAGAAGGGAATTACTCTAATTATCTGAAAGCAGTAAAGCAAAGAGCAACAGCCTACAGCTGGAACCATCAAACCAACTTCAGGTGAGGCATTACAGAAAGTGTCCTTGCAGTGAGAAATGAGGCACTAGAGACAGACTCCAAGGGAAGAGTTTTTGAGCTATCACTAATACGAATGCCCAATCTCTTACCTGCTATCCACAGGCAGAATTTGGCATTTGACAAACACCAGAGATAAGAGCCATATCCTTGGGAAAATCCCAGTTTCTTTACTTAGTATAGGCAATCAGAGCTCTGTTTTAGGCCTCATTGGGAAGCCAGGCATGATCTTGTATAATACAGAAGATCAATATGGATTATGTAAGCAGCCTTTTTTTAAACCCAAGCATCTCTAATCCAGTTGTAATCCTTTGTGAAAAGTGGGTAGTATTGATTCTGGCTATGTAAAGTACCACTCATGTAGACATACCTGAGCTAATTTACCTAGTGTGGGTACAGCTGGCAGTGTAGCTGTAGCAGTAGCATAGAATCATAGCGAGTGAGGTTGGAAGAAACCTCAGGAGATCATATTGTCCACCCCCTGCTCAAGATAGGACCATCCCCAACTAGTTCAGGCCCTCAAAGCATGCTATTAGCTCTGGTTCTCAGATAAGTCTTTCAGGCAAGGACTGAGCCCTATCCTGCCATAGATACCTTGCTAGCAGTACTTGAGCCAGCTAATTTAAAGTTTGGGCAGGTAAGTTTACATTAGTGACAGTCGCACCTTTGACTGCTATGTAGACATACCTTCCAAAACCATATTTGCCCCCCTCCCCTGTTGCACAGTAGAGTCTTATGAAGCTTTAAATGGCAGTCATTGCAGTGTAGTGCTCTCAGTGAAGTACCTCTCACTTGGTGTCATCCCTATATGCTGGTCTGACAGAGCCAGTTCTTGGCTTTGCTTTATTCTTTAGAATATCCTGCAAGGTCTTTCTCTCATCTCCAACTGTCTCTTACAGAACCAACTTAGTGCAGCACAGCTCAGCCTGACAGTGTTGCACCACACAGCCTGCAGTGATCATCTGTGGCATACTTTTCTGGCTTATGGGACAATGCAGAAGTACACTAGTGAAAATCAAGCCAGTGCTTGCAACATGAGCCAGTAGCAACCCTACTGTATTTCCTGTATGGACAACATGTTCTTTCTAATCCATTTTTGAAAGCAGTTGTGCTAACCTACATTTTCAAAAGGAATTTAACTTTCTGATACTGCAAAAGGTTACAGTGCATTTTGACTGCTTGGCCTTTTAAAAACATCCTTGAATCAAAATATAGGGGCACTCTGTTGATGCTGGTTTGAGCACATGAATGAGTTGGGAGACTAATATTCTATTCCTGGTTCTGCCACTGATATGCTTTGTGACCTTGGGCACATTACTTAACCTCCCTGCTCTAGCTTCCTCCTCTGTAAAGTGGGAAGGCTTATTGATCTGCTGTACTAGACAGGGGCATTGTGAACGTTGCTAAGCTGTATAACAGTTTTGCAAAGAAACCCCAGTCATGGAGCAGGAGCCCACTCTGTCAGGTGCTGTACAAATACGGAACAAACAGAGTTTACAATCTAGGATTAGTTAGCAAATGCTGTAAAAACACCTTGAATAAGTAAATGGTGTAAGCAAATGCTCAGCACTACCATTTATTTTTAAAGATGGACTGGCCTAGGACACTTGGGATGATTAAAGCATCCCCACTGGCTGGGTAAATAACCTATGCTTTTGGCTGGCTAGGCACAATGTTTATTTGTGTCCAGCCAGGTAAAAATATCAGCCATTTACCAGACAAGCAAAGAGGTCAATGGAAATTTGCGGTAGGGAGGTGGCAGGTGTGCTGTGGCCTGGGCTTGCAGTGTATAGCATCGTGGTCTGCACCCCCGCCAGTTTGCCCCCTGAGATACTCCATCTATGCACATAAACTCACCCTCCAGCTGCCCTTTCAGCCATCCCCAGCTGCTGCTGTACCTACCTGATGATATTAAAAAAAAAAGAAATCTTGGAGCTGATGACATTAAAAAAAAAAGAAATCTTGGAGCTACAAGGACTGGAATCTGGTAATGGAGAGCAAGGGAAGGAGCTAAGCTCCCAGGTTAACAATTAATCAGATAGAGAGGAAAGCTACTGCTTTGTAATCATTGCCTGACTCCCAAGTATAATAGCTGTGAATTCCTGTGACCACCATCTGAGACAAGGTGCTTTGGGCTATTCCCAAGGTGGTGGGGAAAATTCAAATCAGCCTTGCTCACACAGCAAGTCCGCAAGCTCCATGCTCCCAGCAGCAGATCAGCGTTAGCGCTGCGTAACAAGTGGAATCAGCCATCCTAGCCAGCAGCAGCCAGGCTGTCATTGTGCTTCTCCTGAGCCCCGCTTTCATTTCAAGTCAGTCAGTCAAACTGCACGGTTCCCTTCCTCCATGGCTATTCTTTGCTTCTGCAACCCCAGCCTTGGAGCTACAGAAATAGAAAGGACAAAACAAAGAAAAACAGGATACATGAATACTGAGCCACGGAGGGCCCAGCTTTGCAAGGTGCTGAATGCCCTCCATTCTCAGGAAGTGAAGGTCCCTGGCACTCCGGAGTAGCGGCTCTGCTCCATGCAGGGCCAGGTCCCAACCTGTTTCCAAGGCTTCCGCATGAGGCGCCTAAAGAACATTAGCAGGGCCTCAAGTTAATTATTTGTCTTCTCTTGCTGAGCTAGTCTTGCTTGGGCAGTAAAAAGAATGCAAATGGGTTAACAGACCATGTTTAGCACCACCTGCACTTGGATACATCCAGGGTGACCAAGCATCGCTTTCCTGTTCAAGGTCTTATGCTAGGGAAGCAGAAAACCAGTGAATTCTCTACTGTCCATAGGTGAATTTGTCCTGGTAGTTGTCACACCACGGCCTGTATTCTTCCTCCCTAGTTGGCTTATCCCTTCCCAAACAGGCATTTATCCTTCTTAGAGCTTATGCTAGATATACTGTAGCTTTGCAAAAGCTGAATGATTCTGAGGGGTCTCTTCCTGAATTTTACCTGCTTTTATGCTGCAGCTTTATCTTCCACATGAGATGGGAAGCAAGAGTGAGGAAGAAGCTTGAGTCCAGTCTGCATGATAAAATTAACTGTGCTGTGGGGGGAGGGAGTCCAGAGTTACATCATGATCATCCTCAAACAAGTTTCCAATATGTAGGGGAAACGCGACCTAGCCCAACCCTACTGAGGCATTGGAAATGCTCAGTTAAGTTAGACAAGGTTCCTTGGGTGAATTTGATATCTTTTATTAGACCAACCCAAATGGTTGGAGAATAGTTATTAAGCAAGCTTTCAGGTTCAAAAACCCTTCGTCAGGCTCAGGAAGCTGCAGCAGTTGGTGTGTGCTCTTCCTGGATGGAATGAAAAGTTAAGTTAGCCTTCTGATGTGTGTGTGCTGGCATGATGTGAACAGACACTGGATATGTTTATGCTGTAGCTTGTGTAAATGTACCTGGCTCTATACTAGGTCAGGGACTGCAAGCACTAGTGTAACTGAAGGGAGGGCTACTGGGCAAAAACAGCTGCCAGGTTGGCTGGACTACCAGCAGCACCAGTGCTGCCCCATGCACCACTGCTGCCTGGGACACAGAGCTGCCCTGTCATGCCTTTTACAGCAAGCAGGGTGACTGTGGCAGGCTAGGGCTTCACACAGACTAATTGCCCAAGTATTTCCGCACCTTCTTGGGTGGGTTTTGCAGGCGGAGCAATAGTACTAACACGTACTTTAGCAAGCTACTTTAAAAGTCATTGCTCTGCTACTGACGCAGCAATGCAGCTTCATCTGTTTTGCAACCATGATGCTGTTTTGTAAACAACCACAGATGCAGCAGTCATCACACCCACTGTACAACTGTCTAGCTATTTTATGTGACTTGCAAAATGGAGTTCCTAACCTCTCAGGATCATTGTGATCAATTAATGTTGACAGACAGCTTTTTGCAAAAGTAGAGCTGTGAATCCCAGCAGTGGTAGTAATATTCTCTCTGTCTTTCTTTTTCACCCTCTCCACCCCAATGCTGGGTAGTTTCAGATCCTTTTTCTTCACTTCTTGTTGAGTTGTGCTAATATGCAGTGGAGAGGGCATGTGTGCACTGCCTCAGGATCACGCGATGGAACATTTCAGTGAAGCATAGCACACCCATTCTGCATGTGTAAAACCTAGAAACAGATGTGATGTAGCTGCCTTCGAGCCTGTCCCTTAGATTTATCTCCAGTGGCACCTCAAGGCTATGATTTTCCCTTTCAAGGTTCCCCATCTTTGCTACCATCAGGTGCAGCATTAGCATGCACAGAAATCCAATCTTCCTCTGGTGTGTTAGCAGCCACCATGTTGTCTAATCTTTATCAAAGCAGGTGTAGATGTGAGAGAAGGAAATCTGATACAGGACCCACACTAGTGCCCCCTCCCATTTACAGCAGCAATAATATTTTTAAGGAAAACATTTTAAAGAGTATACAAGACTCATCTGTCTTTCAACAGTGTTTTGTTCTGCTTGCATGGCTGGGAACCACCTACATCATAACCAACATCAATATGGCATAGTTACCCTCGAGCCTAGGAATGCAGGCAACACAAAACTATAAGATGCACAACCATATAATGCACCAGTTATAGCAAGTGCACTTTACACACAAAAAATATTTCTTAAACACTAGATGCAAATCCTCCTTGGACATGTATGGATTTGGTTTGGTTTGTTTGAAAGCAAGTTCCTCTTAACTGTTTCCACCCCTAGAAAAGGAAGGGCTGGATGTTACTGATACAGATAGAAGTGTAATTTCATCTGCTTTGCAATTGTGAGGTTGTTTTGTGAAGATTCACTATCGGGAAGTAGGATTCTGCCAAAGTGAAGCAAATGAATGCATAAACTGCCTATGCTTTAGAAATAACACTATTTGAACAGACCTGATACCACTTTATACCAATGCAACTAACTCTACTGACTTTAGCAGAGATTCTCCTGATTTACACCGGTGCAAACTGGACCAGAAATAGGTGTATCCTCTAAGTCAGGGGTGGGCAATTATTTGGACAAAGAGTTTTGGTGAGCTGTCACAGACCAGGTCAGCATCAGTAATGCTGCCCCCCATGCCCCGGCAAAACAGCTCACCAAAATTCCCTTAGTGGCTCTGTTCCATGCTCAGCTGAGCGGCTGGGATGAGGCCAAGGGTGGAGAACAGCATCCAGGAACAGGAAGAGCAGGCAGGGCTGGGGCTGCGATTGTGGGGTGGTGACAGCACAGGGCTGGAGCCATGGCAAAGCACAATCTGCTCCCCACACACCCCTGCAACTGGCACTTCTATGGGCAGGGGTGTGTGGGAGGTGGATTGTGGCTCTGCCCCAGCCTCAACCCTATGCTGTCACCACCCCATGATCCCACCCCGTGATCCTAGCCTCCCCCTCCTGTCCCGCTCCAGAACACTGCTCCCCACCCATGCATGGCCCCATCCCAACCACTCTGCCATATGCCCTGCCTGTGCAGGTCTGCCCCTGGTGGACAGGCAAGCTAGGGTGCCTGGGCAGTGGGGCTGGGTCCGGTGGTGGCAGCAGCCAGAAGGAGCCACTTCTGCCAAGGCTGCCAGGAAATGAGTCCAGCTGCTGCTCCACTCCAGCCATGCTGCGCGTGAGGGTGGCAGAACCAGCCACGTGCACCACAACCCAGGCTGCCAGTTGGGTTTGGTGTGACCAAGGGACCTGCCATGAGCCAGACAAAATCCCTTGGTGGGCCAGATTCAGCCCACTCTTGCTCTAAATAGTATTCAGGCCTCACCCAGGTGCCAAAGGGTACCAGCAATGACAGGAGTACTTGATTAGCAACACACATGAAAATTCACCAGTAGCCTTGCTGGAGGGTCCTTTTCTCTTCCTCAGCACTGAGATGAAGATTTTTTCAGAACACATTGATAAGGCAAAATGCATAGCTTGTGTAGTGCATTCAAAGACTTTGGTCTAGAAGTTTCCAGACTGACTAAATGATTGCTACAACAGGAACTTTTTAGGACTGGGAAGGTCAGGTTTAACATGCCTACAACAAACCAAAAGCAGCCCTAAAGACTACATGGATGAAAGTGGACCACTGCGTAATGGAGCCTGCAGCCCCCACTAGCAACACCAATGCCTGGAGAAAGAGCATGGTTTGGGGTAACACAACGGACTCCATCCAGCCTTCAGGCCTGTTCTAGCCACCCTGAAATCATCACTTTGTTCAGTGAAGAACCCCCCCTAATTGCTAAGCAGAGTGACCTTTTGCCGGTCAGGGTACCCCTTTGTGCTCCAAGCCCACCAAGCTCCCTAGCAGCTTATCAATTCCTATACATGTAACAGAAGTTAATCACTGAAGTTGGAGGAAGCACACTTAAAAATCAACATTTGCTCTATTGAGCAGCCAGAACAAGGCTGGCTTGTTGAAATTACCTTGTAATTAAAACATAATAAAAACTGGCATTTATTGATGAGTTATATTATCCTTGTCTAAAACCATTTAAAAAAATTAAACCCCATCTCAGTGTTTTCCTCTAGTGTTAGACACGCTAAAGCATGAGCAATATCAATAATGTTAGCCACATTGGCTTTTTGTTATTGAAAAAGGAAAGATTTGCTTGGTATGACTTTAGCCAGTAAAATGGCACCTACTGGCCTCTGCCAGAGCCCCTGCTGGTGAGCCCCAAAAGATATTGCCACGGTACTTGCATGGACCTATAAAGCATGCTCCAAGAACATTGCTGTCCCACCCCAGGGGACCTGGCCAAGATATTTGCATAAGTCCATGGAAATGTACGTCCCACTGCTAGGACCCCTGGCACCCAGCAGGGGATGCTTCCAGAGTACTTGCATGGCCATATCCCAGTGCATGCTTCAAGATAACCCTAACCTGACCTCCTTTCATACACATCACAGCCCCTATAAGGGCAGGCACATGAAGAACCCTAGAGGAATATACCCTAGTATCTGCCCCAGGGAGTGCAGACAAGGCTCGGGCCTCTGTCCCAGGTGGATTGTTCTCTGGTTGTTTTGTGATGGTTACAAACCTGTAAGGCAGAAAGATTGATATGCCCTGAGCTCCTTTCTTCCTTCTCCCAGCTACTTCTGTCTCTCTCTCAGGCCACACAACAGCTGAGCAGATAAACAAGTCACCACCTGCTCCCACCTCTAGTCCCACCCCTCTGAATCTGATATGTCTCCACCCCATGCCCAAAGCTCTGCCCTTTTCCCTGCACTCTCCTAAGGCCCAGTTCCCTGCAACAGCAGCTGCTCACTTCTCCTCCCCGTTACTGAAACCAGTAGCACTTTCTGAAGAAGCAATAGGGAATGTCTGTCGTTGTAGGAAGCAGACATCTGGAAGCCAAACTTAGTTTGTGCCCAAACTAAGAAAATCCTGTTTTGCAATACCAGAACAAATTCTGACCTGCCTGGCATTTCTGCCCTGTCTGCCTGCATAACTGGGCAAGAAGGCTAATGCTACATGTGGACAAAAGATTGAAGCTAAAGCAGGAGGGGGGGGTGTATGGAGCACAGTATGGAAACAGAGGTACCCAGTTCACTATAAAGCTAATAGTGTTTAGCCAGCATTGTAAAGCACTGAATCCTGCAGCTGATAAATTGTACAAAAAAGGATAAGTATATGATTATTATTTATACTTACAACTTTTCTTCTTTTTGTTCTCTCATAACCATGTATTTACATTTCACACTCTGGATATTCTTGTCTCTTTCTGAATCCTGCTAAACTCTTGGCCACAATTACACCTTGAAGCAGCAAGGCTACTTCCACTAGCTAATTGTGAATTCTCAGTGCCCACGAGTTCTTTTTAGCTTCCCCTCACCTTATGTTTAGCAGACAGGAATAATTTTGTTGTGATGTAGATAAAGCAATGTACAATATAGACAAGACAGACTGGGAGTTTCTGTTCTGTTTGTCTTGGAATACAAGAGCAGGAGAACCTTCCATGTAATTAAAAGGAGGATGTTTAAAATCAATAAAAGGAAATACTTTTTCTCATTACATTGTTCCCTTACTGTTGCAGGAAGTCCTTGAGGACAAGATTTAAAACTGATTAGACATATATATGGCTATCAAGAATAGCCAGAGTATCATCATTAATAACCATAAGCACTATTGAAGTGATGTTAAATCTCATGCATTAAGAGCTTAAGCCAGTCTCTAATGGGGGTAGATCAGGCTAAGGCCATGTGGGTATCAGGTTATCCTATGCCTGCTTACAGTAAGGATCTTGCCCTTTCCTTTGAAGTAGTTCATGCTAGTCATTGGTGGAAGCAACTCTAACCTAGAGTCTGGCCATTCCTGCGCTACTGCAATGGAGGGAATGGTTCAGTCATATTCGGTCTATACATTTAAATAAAAACATATGAATTACTATATTGAGTCAGACCAACAGCCCACTTATCCCAGCACTCTATCTGTGACATTGGCTGGCATCAGATGCTTTGGAAGAAGGTGAAAGAAAGTATGCCATGGCAGTTATGAGATAACCTTCCAACATGAAAAAATATCCTCTTAACCCCCAAATGTCAGAAGCAGAATTAAGCTTTCAGTAGTCTTGTATATATTGTAACGTGCTTTTTTGATTGTATGTATTTGTGTTATCTATACAAATATGAAATCCCTTTTTGAGTCCAGTTAAACTCTTGGCCTTCATTGCATCACATGCATGTCTGGTTAAATCCATGGAACCCTGGTAAAGCCATAAGGTTGCAGAGGGGAAAGAAAGTCAAAAAATTATCTTGCAGAATGTTATGACTTTAAGCATGATACATAGGGAAGAAAGAACCTAACAAAGTTTCGGATCTCACTCTGAGTTTGGGGAGCTGCAAGGCATAGAAACATTATTTTAATAGTAAATTGAGGAAATGTACTTTGGATCAGCTAAGGGACAAACATGGAATCCTACGAGTCCATTTTTTACAGACTCTGGACCTTGTTGTTCAGGACACTTAGCATGTGCTTTATCTGAGACTGGAGTGTAGTAAGCACTACCATGCTGTATTAAAAGTTAAAATATAGTTTAAGCAGGTGCATGGTGATGCTTGCTAGTCTCTACCTGCTCTGGACAAGGCTGGAGCTGGTTGTGCATCCCCCTCCCTCCCTCCCACCAACACTGACCCTGGCAGCAGGCAACACAACTTGCACATCCACCTTTGAGGACCTGCAACCCCCACACCCAGACTCCGCATCCTCCCCACTGTGTGCCCAGCACTGCTAAGCCTGGGAGTGCCTGTCCCTGGCATGCGGAGACAAGCCAAAGCCAGGTCTCAGCAGCAGACAGAGGGAGGCATAGGGAGTCAAACCAAGGAGAGGGTGCTACTCCTGCAGCTGGATCCAGGGGGCAAGCCTGGTCTCTGCTGTTGGCAGTCTTGAACTGGCTCCAGTGCAGTGCTGGGGCTGGGACCAACAATCAGCTGACTGTCAGTCTCTGGGGTTGGGACCAACAAGTAGCTGATTATCTAATTATATATCTACTTTTTAATGTTCTGGTAGCACCCAAAGACTCATCCCTGCAAAGTCTGCAAAGGAAACAAAAGGCAAGGAGTGATGGAAAGGGAAACATAAAATATAAGCAAAGTGATGAGAGTGATTATTGGGGTTAATGCTATTACATATATCACATGTACACTATAGTATACTTGCATGTATTCTATACCAAGACACTCCACTTATCTATCGTTGGTTAATTTTGCACCCCTTGCCTGCTTACTAATGTGAATTTCTTTTACCTAATGCCTATTTTCTGTTTATTTTGTCATGTTGCCTCCCCCACCCCAAATATAATGTTTCAGTTTCTGCCAAGCAATGCAACTGCATTAGCTACTTATAAAACACTTGCTTCCCCACTGGGCAGGCTCTCTTCAGAACACAAGGTTAGAGACAGCAAGCATATCAGCTCCAGAGAGATTTCTCTCTCTCCAGTTAGTGGTACTCCCTGAGCTTTGCTGATGAAAGGCACAGATGTGTCTGCAAAGAAACAGCTCTCAGTGCCTGCCCTGTTCCCCAGAGCCCTCTTCAGCCAGTTTGATGTCTAAGTGGAAGGGAAGAAAATAAGCTGACAGTAGGGTTACCACCCAGATGATTTTCTGAATTGATTAGCTGCTTTTTCACAGATCCTGTGCCCTTACAAATGGCAATCTCATTGGATCTCACAAGCCAAGTAATGACCTAGGGTAGGACAGCTCTAGAGAAAACCCAGCTGTAATGATGTGCTTCCTTCTTAGGACTAAAACAAAGAAAAAGCTGGGGGAAAACAACATTAAAGGAACTAAATAACAGCTAGTCTGAGGCAAGGGAGGTGCAGCCCACAACAGTCAGAAGCAAAATAACCACCTTAACGTTGCAGCTGTTTCTTTCCTCTAATTTGTATTTAAAGGATCAGCAAGGCAAGCGGGCTGGGAATGGCTGGCTAAGCGTGCAGGGAAGGAGGCGGGGGTTGAATTCACAAGCCTCTGAATGAAAGACATGCTGAGCAGATGCCTTGTTTCAAAGATAGCTATGGTCTTGTTTGTTCTGTTAGGGTAAGAATGATAGTTTAATAGACTGTAAGTCATTTTGGGGTACCATTTGCTTCACATACTTAGAGTTCACAAGCATGCTATCACACCCAGGGACTGCATATTGTCATACCATATGACACGCACCCAAGAAGTGGTGTTGGTGGCTCAGGGTATACCTTCAATGCCAAGTCATAACCTGAGTATTGCCCCAGCTCAAAAATCATTCATATATCAAACCCCTTAACTTGAGGCCAAGGTACTCTCAACTCAAACTGGATGGCCTGTCAGAAGGTATAAACTGGTATTTAAGCTAGTACAATTCATCAGTTGCTATGAAGGCCTCTCAGTCTTGTGGGCTCAGGCTAGCTCCAGTAGTCTTCCAGTCCCTTCCCACAATGCCCTGTGTGCACCTGGAAAGGACGAAGTTCCCCCACAATTCACAGAAAAAGTATTCACAGTTTGCTGCAGCACAAAGAACCAGGGATTATTTCCTCAACTTGTACGTGGTCATGTGAATGAGTGTAATGCCCTAGCGGACACAGCAGCTTTGATGTTTTCTTACAGTGTGGCCACTCTCACTTGAGCTAGGCTAACCTGAGAGGAGTAGAGAGGTAGTTAGCTATGGTAGTCTGAAGTTAGGCAGACAGCAGTGCAGAATGGCACCTTATAGACCAGTGGTCACCAACCAGTAGATCTCAATCCACCAGTAGATCTTGGAGCCTCTTGGAGTTGATCGGAGGCTGGGGTGGGCGGCTGAGTGCCCACATGCATGCACATGCATGCCCCAGTCCACCTGGTCAGTCTGTGGTGAGGTAAGGGGCGAGGGGTAGATCAAGGTCCCTGAGGTGAGGGACAGTGCCGCAGAGGCAGGAGCAGGGGTAAATTGAGTGGGGCCCCAGCCAGGTGGGACTTACCTGCTGGGGAGGTGCGCCCCCAAATAATTTTTTCTCTCTCTGCCTTGATCTGCCCTCCCCCCCTTCCTCCCCAAAGACTTACCTGCTGGGCGGGGGGGAGGGGTGGCAGCAGTGCACAGTAGATCTTGGGTTACTTTTAAATGCCAAAGGTGATCTCCTACTTAAAAAGGTTGGAGACCTTTATAGATTAATCCTGTGTACGCCAAGATTAACACATTCAGAGGCATGAGTTTCTTAGGCTACAACCTACTTCATTAGATAGTATGAGGAGTAAAAGTTAATTTTGCTGTGAAGACATTCCCAGTAGGTGGCACTCTTTCTTCTACATACAATTGGGAACAGTGGCCCTCACAACATTAGGTGTGGTCTTTTGCAAGAGAGAAAACAAGCTACCAACTGTTTGAAATCCAAAAGACCTTTCGGCAAGCAGGAAAGCTTCAGTGGTAGGGTCCTGAGTATATTCCAATTCTGCAAGGATTGGTAGAGAGGTAGCATGCGCCAGGGGACAGGGCATGTGATTATGGTGCTATAGACCCAATACCTATGCCTGGCTCTGCCAATGAGCTACTGTACTGTGGGACCTTGAGCAAGCGTCTTCACGCTGTGTGTGTGTTGATCAGTTACTCTCTGAGCTCTCTGGCATAGGGGCTGTCTCTTGTACATATAGTT